GGCTAGGCGTGGCGGGCGCGCGAAGCGCGCCCAGAACGGCTAGTACTGCCATAAGAGGCATAGCTTGGAATGTAAAATGCAATAAAAAATGTTCGGGTGCAAGTATATTTTACCTTCATTTTTGCATCTGAGCTTTTTTTGTGAGGAGTTGGTAAAAGAAACACTTTGGCCTCATAACATAGACTAGCAAGATTGTGTGACAGTCGACGGGTTAAGAAGTGTGACATGGGAGAGAATGCTTTCTGAGTTTAACGGGAGAACACTTCTAGATTTCTGTTACTTATAAGCCATGCTAGAGGCTGGTTTGAATTAAATTTTTTTACATGATCATGCCCTGAATTGCTAATGGAGAATTTGCACGCAAATTTTTTATTGCTTCATCTGAAAGTGCCTAAAGAGCTAATTTTTCAGTATTTTTTATAATTTTTTTCGGCCATGGGAAATAGTATGTAAATAGAATTAAAAGTGAGAAAATGCGCCGCCTAGTGGCATCATCTGGCGGCATTTTCCATTTAACCGCATGTATTATAGCAGATTAGATCATTTTGTCATATCCTCCTCCAATAATTGTTCAATTTATGAACCAAGGGTATTCTCGTGTTTAGCTCACTTAGGAGCGTCCATTCAAACACGAAATTCATCAAATTTCAGACACCTGCAAATTCTCTATTGTGAAAGACCGTAGGAAAGCTTTATATTCTTAAAACAAGCTGATATTCATTGAAAAGAGTTCAAGGACTATTACCTGTAAACTGGAATGGGATACAAGATAAAAATCTAATTCCCTTGGGTGTGTGATAGTGGTATCCACAATAGTGCCAGGAGGAACATTCCTATTTTTCCCATCTTCATCTTGGCTTTTCATTGGGAAAAATCGAACATGATGACGCTTTTGTACGACCAAAAATGTTATTCCTGGCTTGTAGTCCTTCTCCAGAGTAGTACATGCTTGTCTGATAGCATTCAATTCCGCAGCGAGAACCTGTATATAACGGAGAATAAGAAAAAACCATTGACAAATATTATGAACAACATGTAACAAGCCCTAATCCATGATTGGAAGAACAAGAAAAAAAAATCTGGTACAGTGTAATATTCAAAAGACTTCTAATGCTGAAGAATCTTCCACTGACTTTGTACGCAGGAGAATCAAATTCAACCCAGAAGTAAGTGGAATATTTTTGCAAAACGTTAAGTGCAATAGTAGTTTCTGGATTAACTGACTTTTTTTTGTTGCGCAGCCTTAAGAAATTTGAATTTTTGCCAACTCCTTTATTTTCCACCCACCCCTGGCAACAGAGTAAGATCTGATTACTGACCAGAGCTGAACCAAAATTCTAAAATTTACAAGCAATTGGTCCAGTGCACATCTAAGTGTGATAGGTAACCCTGTAGCTGCCTAAGTTAAGAATTTCTATTCAGCATGCTGAAATTTTTGTAATTTTAACCTCTGGCAAGATCCTATCTTAAAAGGTCCCTAGCAAGACAACTGTGACGCTTGGACCATATGTCGTCTTGGCAGAGTCAAGCCACGGATACCTAATGAAAGAAAAGGGAAACCCAGAGAACTAAATACTCAAACTCATGAAATAAAATTAAAAGGCCAATGCACTTTAAGATCCCTGCCAATCCCTTCTTCAAAACTATAATTTTGACTTCCTCGTAAGGTTGGGACAAAGGAACCCCAAAATAAATTGCATTTCCAATATTATTACATGAATTTTTTTCCCCCAACTATCTTTTTTTCCCATCATTTTACTGGCTCACAGTTTGTTGGCTCACTTTTCAGTCAGTTTCAGTTTTTTTTCCTTTGGCTTTTGTTCCTGAATATCTCTCAAGAAATTAAAGTTACGGCCATGGATAGGGATTTACTATTAAAACTTCCTTTGATTTTTGCAAGAATGATTCAAAATTTCAAAATGTTACCTGTTGAAATTGGCCTTCACTGACTCCATCTCGGTAGACAATAATTTTTTCAGGTTTATAACGGGTCTTTGTGAAGAAGAACTTCAATTGCTCAATGATGATGTTTTTCAGATCAACAACGATTTCTTCTCTTGGATTTTGCAGTCGCCATATCATGTTGTACTGGAATGCTGTAGCATCATGAGAGGCAGCAACAGCAGCAACGGACGGTATTGAAGTTTGGTCTGGAGATGGATGAGTAACGTCGATTCCAATCAACATTACAGGACGACTCAGAACGCCAGGTTTGTATCGATCTCCTAGCTGATGATTCTTACCATTAGTTTTAGAATTTACTTTCAAAAGGATATTCCCACAGGTAGCAGGATTCATTTTGAACATTGTATTGGCCTTGATACATTGAGTTAAAACACCTACTTCAAGCTCAGCACATCGTTTTACCATACCTGCAAAGAAAAAAAATTGAACATTACTCAAAATAAATGAGTACAAATTGTATCTATGATGAGCATAAGGATCTGCACAGAATTCAAAAGAAAGTCACATTTTGAAGAAAAATGAGTTTGTTGTGTTGATAAATTTTCCTCTATTAAAAATATTTTGAAAGGGAAAATAGTGGCTGTGCATTTTTTTTCAACAGTAGCGCTTTATACAAAATCAATGTGGAGCATAAAATTAGTGACATTGGTATAGATGTGGACTGCTGACCTTCAACAGTCAGCAGGCCACTGACTGTTGATAAACAACTCCGAAAGCAACTATCATCACAGTGCCTCTTGACAGAATTCCTGGGGGGTGAGGAAAAGAGGTTTCCTGGGAAAAGAGTGTTTTAAATATTTTTTTTTAAAAGAAAACTATGCTAACCACAAGGAAGTGCACAAAAAGTTGCAGCAGTGAACATATTCTCAGATTTTTAATATGAAGTGTTCGTGCCTTGCTCTAAATCCTCGAAAGCGCAACTTTCAACAAGTGCGACTTGTTATAATTGCAAAAATGGCAAAACTGAAAGGGAAAATTAGAGGGTTTGTAGTATTTTTGGCAAAAACAGTTGACAGGATTTATGTGCATATCCAAGTGTGCTCATAAAGCATGCTAAAAGTTGTCCCTGTAAACGAATTATCTGACTTCAGGCTACACGCATTCATGCCAAAGGCAACCCACCAAATCACCTGAAAACTAGATACCTGCAATAGACAATAATCAGGATTCAGTGCAATCAAATTATTCATTTAGATGTTTCGTGTGCTTAAAACACATGGTGAAGAGTGTTGGGCTCTCGCTATTTTTTTAGTAAGCTGGCGTGATACAGGAAAATAAAATTTTCTGTAAAACTGGATTTTTCAGCATATTGGATTCTCAATACATTCAAATTTACGGAACCTCATAAAGTGCTCTAGTTGGATTCTGCTTCGGAGAGAGGTAAGGGACCTCTTTTACCCTAAATTTAAGTAAGTATCATCTCTAGCTGTCAGGTAAATATTTTGTTCATGAATAATTACTAGGTAGAATTCCCGAAAAAACCGCCAAAATCGGGGTGAATATGGATATAAATACTCATTACCTTAGGAAGTAAAATTTTTCGTTACAATTTGGAAAATTCTCCATCATTTTTACTCTAGAGTATTATCCAAACTAGACACTAGCCTCATACGATACCGAGAACAAATTTAAATTCGACCAACCTTACCGGTCATGCCATTTGTATTTAAGTATTTGTATCAATGTCCAGTTACGTAACATGTCATCATTTTTTAAAATGAACCTGTATTTTTCTGCAGGTTCAAAAAAGAGATTTCTGATGAAAATGTGCAGATTAGACAGCTGTGGTCCCTGGTTTTAAAAGACCATGGATTTTTCCATCAATGGCGATAACTGAATTACTTACACTCTCTCACAGTCATAGGTGTTGGTGACTTGGATTGTCTATGAACCAAACTACAGGCCTCCAGAGAAAAAAATAAAAATAGCATTCCTGATACCTGATATATAAAAATCACTTACTGTAAAAATCGCCGTGACCAGGTATGACAACAACTACCAATTCTGCACCTTGGGCTTTCCATTTGTGAAGGACATTAGTAACATCAGCTTTAATTTGCCTGCTGCGGGTATCCATTTCTTTTATTTCAGTGACATTTTGGATGGTCATGCCCAAATTCCTGCCCTGTGACGCAAGCATTCTAGCAAAATCATTGAGCTTTTCTCGCCTGGTGCGGAAGTCTAGACACATAATGAACCATTTTGAAAGCTCATGGCTTAACATGAATTCTCCTGCACGCCATTGTCCAGGCTGTGGCCTCGGATTGGATTGATTTCTGTACTGAACACCTGGAGGGTCCAGAATTCGTGCGTCAACTTTATCTAGATTTTCGTTAACCTCAATACCAAATTCTTTAACAACTGGTGATCTATTGTATTGAGCAGTGCGGATTGCATTGAGAATCCTTCTTTTTCGGTCTTCTGGTGGTTTTGCAGCAGCTTTGACCATGGCTGCAGTTTGCTCCTCATCTAATTTTCGATTTAAAGCCTGACCAGGTTTCAGGTAACACAACTCTATTGGTAGGAAAATATTTTTTGCAGGTGGATCTACTTGCACAGTTGGCAAGTCTGGGTGCTTGATTTGATAATTCTTCACTCTTTTAAAATAATCAACAACTGATATTTCTGGTCCATTGTCCGGACGGAATCTGAGGTTTGCAGGACTCTTTCCGACATTGTTGATTCGATACGTTCTTCTTGAATTTGGAGTGTTAGGTATTTCATAATCACACTTAAGAGTTGTGACAAATCCTCTGAACTTTAATACATCGTCAGGTCGGAAATTGTCCCTTGGATTGTTCAATCTGCAAACTTGACAGAAAATCTCGACTAAATTGGTAGGAATAGGGAAGCCTTTGTGAGCAACGTCGACATTCAAGAAGGGTTTCCAGTTTAGAATGGCGGACTGATAAAAGCCATACCAGAGTTCAAGTCCACCTCCTAGCTCAATAATTCGTTCTCTTCCATCTGGAGGGATAAAGTAGCTTCTGCCAACAGGGACAGGACCAGAAACTAACGGCGCAGCTCTCAGAGCTACATCAATTGCTTGAATTGCTGTTTGCGGCACATCCAACCGCTGCCCAGTCGTTCTTGAGTTCAAGAACGCTGTTATGGTGCTTGTGTTGATTTTTTGAGCTAACTTCACTGTGATTTGAAATTCAAGCTCATTATTCGATACTCTCTCTTCGTTTGTCATGGTAATTTGATCACTTTTTGAAGTGCCAAAAGGCAGCTGTCTAGCAGCGTACAGATTTTTCTTCCCATCAAACGCAGGATTAAAGCCATTACAATGTCTTTTAATGAATTCGGCAACAATAGGTCTAAGAAATCTTTTTGGTTTGTCTGGGTCTACAGCCACATCATAGTGATAGATCTCAGGGCATAACTTGCTTAGATTTAATGGTAATTGATTTACTTCTACCTGTGTTCGCCTCCCTAAGGTACCTACTCCTTTGCGATGAGGAATTGGAAACAATGGTTGGTGAGAGGGAGATTTTTTGGACATTGGCAGAGGTCCTGAGTCAATCTTCTTCGGAGGCTGATTTTCTTTATCTTTTTGAGGCTTGGCTGTTGGTTTGTCCTTCTTTCCTTGAGAATCACCTGCAAAAGAAGAATTCAATTAGCAAATGGCATAATTTTTCAGGGGCATTTCAAGAGGCTAGGGACAATAACACATAACCGACAATTTTGACAAAAATGAGTTAACATCTTTGCCACATTCTACGGTATGATGTAGCAAGCTGATGTTCTTAGTTTTTTTCTAATTTCACATGGGAGCTGTGTGATGACGCTGCATGCTAAAAAAAATATTAAATCTGATTTCAAAAATACAAAAATTGCCAAGTTTTTTCATTATCTTGCAAAATCATCAGTTTTCGGATAAGCAATATTGTTCCTTAGCCATAGATCATCAATTTATATTGTTTTATGAGTTTCTGGCAGGAAAAATAAATGAATAAACCAACTGGATTGAACATTGTATAATTTCACTTTAATGCTGGCAAAACTGCAGCATTGATAAGGTGGTATTTGCTGTTGATATCAGCACTTAAATGCACTAAGAGAAAGGGGGCCACTGCAAAAAATTCAAACTTCTTCACAGTTTAATGGATTTCTTCTACCTGTATGTCTCCCTGAACAAAAAAGTATTTAATACCATCATCCTTAAATTATGAAACAGTTTGCAAAGTTTTCTTTTCTTTAGATTAAAATTTAAAAAATCTTAACATGAATGGGCCTGTTTCAAACATCAGCTAGAACAAAACAAAAAGGTGTTCCTCATAAGAAATGGCTCAAAAATCAGGATGAGCGCATCGGAAAAGTCTGAAATACACTCCTAACTTCACAATCTGCGTGAGAGATACTTAGGCGGTTTTTTTAGGATACCGCGTCAAAAAAGGATACTTCAGCACAGGAGAAAATTCAATAAGAGGAATTGTTCCTGATATTGTTCAACCCTTGCGCACCAGGATGCTTCGCAATATTCAACATGGCCGACACCAACCTGCCAAAACACACGTGTCAAGACAGGATTTTATCAACTGGGATATTTATGTTTACATTTTCCTTGCGTTGATGAAGACCATGTTGCTTCCTCACAATTTACGCATGAAGACGTCAGCCATATTGTGTAATATTCTGGTGTGCAAAGGTTAAATGGAACATTTCCTCTTAAAAATGTTCACCTGTGCTGTAGTATCGTTTTCGAAGCAGCAGGCTAAAAAAAACGCAGATTCCTTATGCAGATTGTGAAGTTAAGGGTGCATTTCAGACTTTGCCGATGCGCTCATTGTGATTTCTGAGACATTTCCTAGAAAGAAAAACTTTTATATTTGCTCTAGCAAAGTTTGCAACAAGCTCATTCTTGTTCTCAGAGTCATCTTTGGTACATAAATTCATGATAACACAGATTTTGAGATTGACTTTTTCTCAAAGAAAAGTTACATGATAACTTGGAAGTCTAAGGAAGATTATCACCAAGTACCTGAGTGAGAGGAAGGCTTTTGAGACTTGTCCTCTCCTGAAGGTTGGGGCTGCTGAGCCAAAAGTGGCTGACCTTGTTGCAGGCCTATTTGCTGTTGCTGACCTTGTTGCGGGCCTTTTTGCTGTTGCTGACTTGGGAACTGGACTCCCTGAGGTGGCTGACCTTGTTGCGAGCCTTTTTGCTGTTGCTGACCTTGATGCGGGCCTTTTTGCTGCTGCTGACCTTGATGCGAGCCTTTTTGCTGTTGCTGACCTTGATGTGGGCCTTTTTGTTGCTGCTGACCTTGTTGCGGGCCTTTTTGCTGTTGCTGACCTTGTTGCGGGCCTTTTTGCTGTTGCTGACCTTGTTGTGGGCCTTTTTGCTGTTGCTGACTAGAGAACTGGACTTCCTGAGGTGGCTGACCTTGATAAGGACCACTTTGGGGTGGCTGACCTCTACCATGAGAACTCTGTTGACCATCATGCTGACCTCTGCCTACAGAACCTGAATGGTACTGTTGACCAGACTGGCCTCTGCCTACAGAACCTGAATGGTACTGTTGACCAGGCTGGCCTCTGCCTACAGAACCTGACGGGTGCTGTTGACCAGGCTGGCCTCTGCCTACAGAACCTGAATGGTACTGTTGACCAGACTGGCCTCTGCCAACAGAGCTCTGTTCAGGCTGACTTGGCTGCTGAGCTCTTGCAGGTTGTTGACCATCAGAACTCGCTGGATCTCCTTGAGATGGGCCAGACTGCTGTTTCCCTGAAATAAATACAAAAAACAGTTATAACTTACTCACGGCTGATACTGCATAGGCCTATTCATTCGTTTGTTTGTCTGCTTATTTGTTAGCTACTTTAAATGGCTCCAAGGGGCTGATGTTGTGCTTCGATCCCACCTTCACAACCAACCTCAGGCAGTCCTTGCACCAGACCATAAAGCTCAAAACGTTTGAATTTGAATCAAACCCTGATATTTTTATTCAAAGAGCAATAAGTGCTATGACTAGGAACTTATGCAGGAATTTACCCAAGAACTCCTGGCTGAAATCTAATTTTTCAGGAATTTTGAAAGTACATATATACACTGTAATCACTCACTCTTTGGAGGGCCACAAGGAAAATTCCTGTAGATTCCAGATTCTTATTCCTGGCACTCAATCTTTGTGAGAAATTTTGATTCCTAGTTATGGAATCATCAGATTTAATTTTTCAATAGTAGGTACTTAAAAAAATACTCTGATTTCTTAGGTTCATGAGAGAGTCAAGAAATACAGAGAGATGATAGAAACTCAGGATGAAATTTTTCAAAACGTTATGATGTCAACAAGGTCTAATTGTAATTTAAGCATCTAAAATTTTACATTAGAGAGTATTTACATAGAGTTGCTTATATAGCGCTCTTTGGCGCTTTACAACGCCTAATTGCCACAAAGTTTGGTCTTCCCACAGGTCATCAGGGAGTTGACACTCCCTCATTTCATTTAACACCCCCTGTCGCCAAACTCTCACTGGGCGTCCCTTACGTCTCCTCCCAGGAGGAACCCAATCAAGCATCTTTATTGGCAGCCTCTCTTCCGTCATCCTCTCCGACATGACCGTACCAAACAAGCTGTTTGGTCATGACGTCGAACACGATGTCATTTTCGACTTCCATGATATGACATACTCTCTCATTTCGGACCCGATCTCTCCTAGAAATTCCTGCTGACCTTCTCCAGAAATCCATCTCCGTTGCTCTTAGCATATCCTGTGTCCGTTTCTTCAGCTGCCAAACTTCACATCCGTATGTTAATATACTTTTAACTACAGCGATGTATATTCTTCTCTTGTTATCTTTGGAAATCCACTGATCCCAGAGGATTCCATTTAACATCGCTATAGCCTTCCTCGCTAGGGTGTTCTTTTCCCTGATAGCTTGATCCGTCCTAGAGAGTATATAATACGTCTATTTCATTGTTACTTGCTGGTGATTTTAGGGGCCGTCCTTAAAATACATCACCCATTTTTTTCAATTTTTAGATTCCCTCCTCCCTCACCATATCCAACCGTGATCCACTGTTGAGACCTCTCTTGCGCCAATATTAGACAATCAAAGTAGAGCTCTCAAAGTGGCGCATCAATGCGGCTGGTCGAAGGTGAGTATCACATGACCCTTGGATCTTTGAGGGACATGTGGGTCACATGTATGCACCACTTTGAGAGCTCTACATTGATCGTGTGATACGGGCTCTAAAATTACGTCATCTTTAGCATAACCCCCCCCCCCCTCTTTATAGGGGGCAAAACACAGAAAATCTATAGGTATAGTCTGCAACTTTAAGAACATGATTAATTTATTTTCCTGAGTATTAAATATATGTTGTGTTCTTTTGAAATGGAAAATAATTAAGGCCACGATATATTAATAGATGAAAAATTAAACATCGCAAATTTTATTGCTTTCAGAAGACTTGCAAATCATTTGTTGAACAAGTTTTAAAAATTGAGTAAAATAAAATAGAAAATCAAACTTCAAGCAAGCATTTTCAATATTTTTGCCTTCTGGAAAGCTTACGCCATCCTTTGCTTGACCCCTCCCTCCTCCTCTGTAATCACCCGCAAGATGCACTCATCATCACACTCGGTGAAATAATTTATAGTTGGCCCCTTAGGGAGCACTTTAAACAAACTGGAAAAAAGATTTGTGACACTATTTTTCTAATTCTTTATCTAGCAAAAATGATGGTGAAAACATCAAATACCAAAAATCTTGAGTTTTGAAAGGTAAAAAGAGAGATCAGTTACTTTTCTATCTGAATTTCATATTCAAAAATATGTAAAGTAAGTTAAGAAAACTGTACCTTTCTTTCCTTTCCCCATTTTTCATTGATTGATACTTGATTCTGAACCTGTAAACACAATGGAGAATATTAAACTAAGCAAATCATACCGTTTAAGAAGATTTTTCTGCTCCAAAAAGCAATTTAACCGCCTCCCACATTCAGCAAAGAAAATAGCGCATCTCTGAGGAAGGAAATTTGGGCATTGAACATGCGGCAAATGAGTTGACAGAGGTTTACTTCCCATTTGGAGGCAGCTGAGCTCCCATTATCCAATGGCGATAAAGAATTGACCATGAGCGTTATCATTGCTGCGTAAAGGTGTATGTGTAAAACTGACAACTTGGGTGACATTACGTCTGATGCGTTTCCTCTAAGGTATGAGAATTCCTGTTCGGCAGAAGATTGCACCAGCAGCAACCTGATTAGATATCAAAATCATTGATTCTCGTCTGCTCTAAGGGGCATACTCACTTTCACTCATTTTAGTGACAATTGTGGTGCTAGAGTAATGAGAATCTGTAGATCTGAAGTTATGAAAACCTCTTTCTCTTTAAAAACAGCGACTGGCGAAGATTCAGACGTCGCAGCTGAAAGTGACCTGAACAAGTTGTGGCACCTCCTAAAGAAATATGACAACATTGACAACAGTTTAAAACTCTGTGTGCAGACTAGAAAGAACACATATACTTTGGAAGGTACTCATTTGATCCATAAAATTTTCTTATTTGAACAGCAGAAATCCTCTGAGTTGCCCAAAATAGCGAGTGAGACTCAGAGATAGAAAAATCATAATAATCCAAGTAAATGGACAATAGTTTTTCCAAAACTGCTTATTGACCAGATGTTTGATAAAAGGAAAAAGAATTAAATATAGAGGATAGTAACATAATACTTTTGGATATTCTGTTCCAAAACTTAGGATTCTTTGACTATACCATGAAGACCTGGCTGCCTATAGCTAACCTCCACGAAGTGATGTTTTGGTAGTTAAAACTCAATTCCTTACNCAGTAGATTCCTCAAATCAATAGCTAAAACTGATTTTTTTCCAAATTTCAACTTACAGCCTAGTTTTTTAAAATTTCATCTTGAACCGTGCCTAACTCCCGTATTCGCTCCACGGTGCCCTCGCCGTCTGCAGGATTCCGGCTTTATTATGGCATCAATTGAGCTGAAATTTTTCAGGAAGGTAGCTCAAATATAAGGCTCGAACTGATTTTTTTCCAAATTTGAAAACCTGCAATGGATTTTCGAAATTTCATCACAACATAGGTAAAATCACGAAAATTCATACTTCGCGGTCTTTTCAGAGCGCCGTCGACGGTAGCGCGATCTCTTATCGCAGATTTCAACTTGAGCCCCTGTCGAATCCCCTGTGGTATTGGGTAAAAAAAATTCCTTACATTATTTGTGAGAAAGAAGGGCTATGAAATTATGAATGATCAGAAATCGTAGAGTGAATTTCGCGATCGCCCAACAGTTTGACAAACTGGCAAATTATATGAATTATCCTCTCACCACCCATCTGTATATGATTTATCTGATTTCGACGGGAGTATACGATTTATCTTGTATACAATTTATCTGCCCCCCCGGAAACTGTAGCCCGGCCGGAAATCAAAACGCACACGTTCTGTGTTTTGATTTTTTACTCATACTCTGTCTCCCATTGGTTGATGACGGAACTTTGGAGCAGTGATATGTGCAGCCTGATTGTTGAAACTTTAACAGGCTATATCGGCAAGATAAGACAAGACATAGCCCTATCTGTGCCGTGTAGTATATCGATTTTCGATTCTTGTCGTGCTGACATAAATTTCAACAATCGGGCTGCAGATTGCTATTGTGTTAAACACAGAAAATACTTTTTTGTAAGAAATAACAAAATAACTGTATTAAAAAATTAAAAACACTAAACATTAGTAACAATCTGGCAACATACTTTTCTGCAAATTTCTTTTGATTGCGTCATCAATATGGAAGCATGCTTTTTATACTGTTCGACCGACATCTGCATCAGCTGATTATAACTCGGCAAGCTGCAAGATGGTGGCTTAGACCTTAGAAGTTCTTGTCTTTTAAAGAATTCGCTTGTTTTTAATAATTTATTGCAATTCATCAGCAAGAATCTCTCCATTGTGTAGTGCCCATCGCGTTTGTTCGTTATATTGCACGAATTTGTTACCCCCTATGTCCTCGTCAAGGAACATGTTTTAATCTTCAATATCGGAAAAATGGGTTGAGAATTCTGGCGGCCAGTGCCAGTGGACCTGCCAGTTTTTATCAAACACCTTTTATTCGATTTTAACGGTGTTTTTTGTGCAGATAAACATTTCATTGAGGCTGTACCGATGGGTTTCATGACGCCCTATTCCTGCGTGGTCTGCTTGTAATCAGTAATCTCTATTCACAAATCTTAGTAAGTATCGGTCACTCAAACTTCTGCGTCCAATATTTACTAGCCTCAGGACAGTTCAAAGGACCTGTTTGTTTACAACCATAACTTTAAGAAAATCTCATCGTCACCATCAGTTTTCACCACTTAGTTTAATGCATGATATAATCCATTTGTTGCAATTAATAGACTTCTTCATTTTAGTTGATAACCTGGTGCAACAATTTGTGTAAATGATGATGCACACAGTTAGACTTGGAGTTCATTCATTGTATATTAAGACTAAAGCCAAAAATTGTTTATGTCACCACTCATTAAAGTGTCATTTGGTTGCATGTCTTAATCTGCTGAGTGGTGATTAGAGATTGACATAGTCTAAACTTTTACTTAATAAACGAACTCAATCCCTTCAGCAGTTGGTGGAGGTGTCGTCAGATAAGTTGGCCATCGTTTACTTTCGGCATGTTGGTCATTGTTTACGTTTGCAGGCATTTTCGCTTCAATACCATCCACATGAAAGCATCTGACTCTCACAGAAGCGACAACTCAAGCTCGAACAGGTTTTTTAATACCTTCAAACCTTGTACCACTTCAATTTTTAGCCACACAGAAATAACAACCACCTCAAAGTCACGGATCACAATTAATCAGTAGTTTTCTTACCATATGATCATGAGATTGATGTTTTTAAGATGAATACTAGCGAAGGATGGTCTGTGCAGAGGCCTTAATTCGTTGTCTGTGCTGGCTAACCAAAAGTAAAGAATGGCCAACTTATCTGAAGACACCTCCAAGTAATAATCACTATTTCCTTCCCTTTGTACTGTATAATCTTAAACACACAGTTGTATCTCGCGTGCTGTCGCAAAATGCTCTAGCATTGGAAGTATGTCTTTAAATAGACAGGAGAATTTTTTTTGTTTTCAAAACTTGCTGGTTCCAGATCCAGTTTTTGTTACATACCATAAACAGGGCGTACTGGCCTACCGGGACATGTCCCGGTGCGCCCTCCTGCCCCGGCGCCTGGCGCCCTATTGCCCTATTACTTTCCAGAAAATGAAAAAAAAAATAATAATCATGCAACAATGAAGATGTAAGAGGGCGCCTCCTTTTTAAAAAAGCGCCTTCTTGTTAAGAGGGAGCGTGCTTTCTTATTTAGAGACAGGGCACCCCTTTCCTGACAAGTGCGCAAGAGAACAAGGCAGGTCGGTGCGGCGAAGGTGGAAGTGCGAAGCGGAGCGGGGAAGTCTCCCTGTGGTACAATTTTCCTCATTTAAAACCACGTATAGTGACTATTATATGCGAAACCATTTTTCATTCATTTTTTCATCAGAATGGCTTAAAACTGCGTCTGAAAAGGTTATGTTTTTCAAAATTTTTCCCCTCCGTAATGGGGGGAATCCCCCCCAGACCCCCCTGTGGTGGCGCGCTCAAAGTGTCTGTCTCGCGCCCCTTTGAGGGTCCCAGTACGCCCCTGACCATAAAGAAAAAACTGAAATGAGCGTATTGTCAGGTGTCAGCATTTGGAGAGATCCTAAATCACACCACTGCTCATTCTTCATTCGAAGTTAGTAATCGTCAAGCAACAGTTTGAGTCAAGTCCAGAAAATAAGTTCTTTGAGGTATTGGGTGGATTTACAAATATTATTACGATGAATTTATTTTCCTTTGATTTTTTGGTACTCGCCCATCAGTTGCAGGCTCCTTACTTGTTCCAAAATTAAAGGTGTTGGCAGGCGCCAGTACTTGGTGTTGTTAGGATTGTGTAATTATGAACTCTTTCTACTCTTGCTAGTATTCTGTTTGTAGCCATGTCCACATATTATTCTCTAAACAGGAGGAAATAGCAGGTCCTATGTAGTTAAGTTTATTAATTTTCGTTAATATATTTTTCAAGGTCTTGAATGGAAGGCGTTTTGAAGCAGTGCTCTTCTTCCAATATGACCACTGAAGTAGTGTCTGGGACAGCGAGTTCCTCTATACAGAATGTTAGAAGAAAACCATGGGGCACCAGGCGTCGAACTCGGTCCACAGGAAGTTTGCCTCCCTTTGCGTGGCAACGACCAAGGAGTGATGACTCGAGCAGTAACTCCAAAGATAACAAAGCAACTTCAAGTCTGCATCAAAGCGATTCAGATGATACAAGTGGTGTGCCATATTCTCTGACTTCCTTCAAGAAATCTTGTGTTCACACCAATCTTGAGTCTGACTCAGTCAATGAAAATTTCTCTCCTCTTCGACCAAGCACTAGAAGGTAAGCTTATGAGTAATTTACCTAGGAGTTTCTTGTTCATAATTTTTGAATGAAGAGCTATGAAGAATTTCTTTGGTGTGGGTGATACCTCCATGGGAAGTCTCTTATTTTTAGCTCAGATTGATTTGCCTCAGTGTAATTTCCTCTGATTTAATTTATGACAACAAATATATTAATCCTTGACATACTCACGTACCTGCAGGGTGTCTACTAGGTTGGTAAGTCCAGAAATATTACGGATTTTTTAAAGTCAGTCTGGAAGTACTAAGTGCGGAAATTCTGCAAGGAGGTCCGGAATTTTGTCCTTCACACCACGCGTGTTTTTTAATTTAGTGCAGAAAGTGTGCAATCCCTGCGTGTTGATTCTTAGAGTAGTATTTGCCTGCAAGATCGTAAATACGCAGTCAGTTGATCTTCAAGCATCAATGACATTTTGTGGCTACGTCATTTTTGTCACAATTCGTGTAACTTTTGTGGAACTGAAAACATCAATTAATTTTCAACCATCACCAAACACAAATTAATCAATGATCAATGACTTCTTCAACTAGAGGTATAGACGTTTTTTCTTTTTTTTGTCACGTGTACGATTATCTCGCCAATCACTGTTCTCTTGCATCTATATCTCTAATTGAAGAAGTCATTGATCAATTTGTGTTTGGTGATGGTTGAAAATTAAGTGATGTTTTAAGTCCCGATGTATTAAATGTGATTCAATGTGAAGAGCTGTTGTAGAAAATGTGTGAGAATATAAAATTCGATCGTAAAAATTAGACACCATGCTTGAACCAGAAATTGAACCTTGGACTGCCCGCTCTTGGGGTGAGCTTTTTACGGCAGAGCCACCATCTGATGTGAGAATGGTGCTGCTAAACTGCATATATAGACTCGAGCGCTCAAAGCAAGACTTTTCAGAATTTTTTTGGGGTGTTACCAAGATGGGGCATTGGAAAAAACAAAAAAATACGGGTCCAATAAATTCACCCAAAGAGTTGGTGCGAATTTTTTCAGCCTGATCAGAGGCGGCAACTTGGGAAGTTTCCCTTTTTAGTGGCTGTTCCTTGAATTAGGTTTGCCAGAAATTTTTAGTTTTAGATCCCTGCCCTCTTATCGCCCACCTATCGCTCAGGTCTGAATGTTTCTACAGCAGCATGTTATGCTTGTCAAAAAAAAGGAAAGGAAAAAAAACAGGAAAAAAACTTATCTCCCCAAGGAAATTAAGCTTTACCTCTTCAGTGCTTCCTAAACATGGTAAAAAAGAAAATATCTGAAAGCCCTCCTCCATGTTTATCTTACAGGGCTTTCCCCATTACGTGAGGCTGGGTCTTGAGGTCGGAAAGTTTCTGCCTCCCCCAAGCTCTGTTTTATACCTTCCACCTTTTACACTAAAAATCAACTTTTTTGTTCAAAAGTTTCCCTAAAAATTGAAAAATGTCCTTTGCATTTTGGTATTTTGCACTAATTTTTGTTTACTTCATGGACCTTTTTCTCATCATATTAAAGTAGAATAAAACTTGAAAAATGCACTGTTTTGTAAACATTCATACTTTGCACCAAATTATAGTTCAGAGGCAGAATATGCATTCATAAAATTTAAGTTTTAGTCTAACTTCAAAAATTTGTCAGAGTATGTATCTACTCAGTTTTTAGTTTGTTGGTAGGAAAGATCAATAATCAGATTCTTATTTTTTGCTTATAGGAAGCGGAAATTTAAAAGGATGGCAGTGGATGGTGATATGATTGCTTTGCCCTCCCGCTCTATTTCTGCTTGTCTCCCATATGGGCTAGGAAAAAAGAAACGAGTTCTCAGACACTCCACCAACTGTGATAACAGGTATAAGAACAGCTTCTAATTTAAGTCATTGTGATTGAGCTACTTTCTGCAACTGGGGGCCATTTTTTCTGGCCTACCCACAAAAGCACCTCGACGGTGTAAGTCAGCAATTACATAAGTCGTCTGCGGTGTCTGAAAATCTCCGCTCCTATTTTATTTTTTTAAAGAAGAACAAATTGACATCATTCCTTGAAGTTTTCGCAGAATATTCTTCGCACAGAGAAGAAAAATCACGGCAGTTTTAAAGAATTGCCGTTGAGTAGTTTCCCGTTTAAAAAATGAAGTATGATAGGAAGTCTGCGACGTCGCAAACCGAGTTATGTGATTACCAACCTACACAGTCAACCTGTCTGCATAGAGAAACTAATGGCGACAAGATGTTCCCAATTGCAAAATGTAGTCCAATCAGTCTCAGTTAGACCACCCATCTTGCTTTTCTTTTTCCTTTCTGTTACCGTTTTCTTCTTTTTTCCACAATTAATTGTCCCTTTGTCTATGTTCTTCTAATTTTTCTCCCTCTTCTCTTTCTTTTTCCTCTTCCTTCCTCCCGTTTTCTTTCTTTTCTTTCTCCTTCTCTTCTTTTTCTTCTTTTTCTTTTATTCCTCCTCCTCTCCTTTTCGGTTTTCCTCATCATATTTTCCCCCTTTTCCTTTTTCTCTTTGTTCCTTTCTTTTCCTCCTCCTTTCTTTCTCCTCTCCATCTGCTTCTTTTTTCTTTCTTTCCTTCTCGCTCTCCCTCCTCTTTCTGTTCTTTCTCCACTTCTGCTGTCTGTTCTTCACCTCTTTTTTTTTCTGTTCTTCTTTCTTCCCTCCCACTTTAATTTTCCCATTATAGATAGGTGCATTAATGGATGAGCCAGAATTAATGATTTCTTACTGCTTTCTTTTCATTCGAAGTCCTTCACTATTTCTGAAATGTCTCAATCTACTCCTTAGTATTTATCAAATGCCCTTGATGTGTTTTTCTTCTCCGGTTGTTTTTTTTATAATTTAAATACTGTTGTTTTTTAGATTGTGCAGTGTCATATCAGGCTGCGGGAAAAGGAAGCGAAGCGCCAGAGAAAGACCACCAGCAATGAGTAGCAGTATGGAGTGTGACACCTCGCCGTCAAGTCCCAGAGTACCTCTCGCTCTTAGTAAACTCTCTATCAGGGATGACCCTCTGCCAAGTTCAATTCCTACTTATCCTTCGTCTCCAGCTCACCAAACACCTATGGACATGGCAGGTTTCATCCACCCGACTGTATCTTCAAGCAGTCTAAGCTCCTCTGAGAGCGACAATGGTGTTTTTACAAATGATGAAGGTAGAGAAGGTAAATGAAAAAACCACATGCATTTTAACGTGACAAAGTTCTGTATATATTGATTCACATTCATTGTGTAGGAACATTTACAGATTTTTTTTTAATTTAAAAAAAAAAAAAAATTGATCAACTAAATAACGAAATAAAGGAATTTAAATCTTGCATTGCAAATCTCCTAGCGAAAATTTTTAAAAGTAAATTTCAGTATTTTCCCAAGGAAATCTTCTGTAATGAATTTGTTGCTGACCCCATCCAGGCAGCTTGCTGTACTCCGAATATCAATATGCATTTAAGTCTGAAGCAAAAAGTTTGTAAAACACATTTACACACAAGAATTTATTCTCTAATTTCTTGCAGTGTTGATACTTTGATGTTCTCTTTGTTTCAGGCGATGACGAGCAGAGTGATGCTTTTGGGGAAGCCGTCGGAGGGAGTCATGGCTGGTGGGAAGACTCTGATCGAGATGATGATATGACAGTTGATTCAACATTCCACCAAATTCTCACAGGCTCACTCAGCGATGATGCCAAAGTCCGCTACCGTGTGTTTACCCAAGGCTTGGTAAGTTATTTCCTGTAGTGTGCCAGTCATGAGCTAATTTTGTATGAGGTCAAATCTGACCTACATTTGACTTGCATTGATTTCCCTGCAAAAATGTCTCAACACCTCAAAATAGGCTGTCATGTGAATTCTGATTGTCAAAGCAAATTTTCAGATACGAAATTATTCTTATGGCTAGTAATTTTACGTAACAGCTAATTTCCCTCCAATCTAAATTACATTGGTTTTGGTACTGTTAGTTCCCTGATCTTTTGGGAAAAGCATCTCTAATTTTTTTCACTTTGATGATTATTTTTATTTGCAAAAAATAAAAATCAACTATTTGCTTTATTTTCTAAGTTCATCGCTTGCAGAACCCTGATTTTAGTTTTATCCAATGAACCTGAAAAGTCACTCATTTTGGTCCAACCACACCATTAAGATGGCTAAGAAGTGCAAGGAAATTATGATCAATCATCATTTGTTAACAGTTTTAAGGTGACTTTACCGTTCAGTCGTATTTCTAATTTTCTTGTTTCTTCTCTCGCAGGTAAAGGGAGACAATGAAATTCGAAGTAGAAGATGGAAGACAAGGATGCGCTCTATGAAGCCACCATTTAACATTCTTTCCTCGGCTAATGAGAAACTGTCACAGTTTCTTCAGGATCCATCCCAAACTGAATTAAGGTATTTACAATTTTTTGTTGTATGAAGTTTTAAAGGAAAAGGAAAAAATATTAAGAAGTACATTTTAACATTCTCCTAGGTGAAATATTATGAAAAAGTGCATTGACTGTATTGTAATTTCTGTAGAGGCTAGGAAACAAAACTTCAAATACTTTTAAAAGGAGCAAGATTTGAGTCATTTGAAAGATGTATCACCATCAGAATCTTCTCAAGGATGTTGAGTTTAACGCAAAGGGATAAGGTAATTGAAGAAATTCAAAGGACAATTACAGGGGAAAGTTATGTTTTTTGCCAAAACTTTTCAGGGTTTGATTCAGCATATATTATCATCAATCTGTTCTGGTTTTCTTCACAGCAACATCATGCGCATAGAACCGCTGTCTCTCTCTAGTTTACAAACCATCAATGATTACAAGAAAAGAAGAAAGACGCCCCCTCATCAGCCGAATTCATTAATGGGTATGTGTCCATTTATACAATTTCTCAATTTTTTCTCTGCTCATCAAATCACAGCATTTTGAAATTTTCTGCACAAGGCCATAAGTTCCTGCCAAAATTCTTTACAAGATAAAAAAAAAATAGCAAGAAATATTGGAGCCTAATCAGTTCCTCTCCAATTAAAGCCTCCAGTGGATGGAAACAGGAAGCGGCATTTTAGTCTTTTTTAAATAAATGAGTTGTGACTTTAATCCATTTATATTAAATTGTATGGATTCTAAAAAGTTTCAACTGATGTTGTGAAGCTAAAAAGGGTGTCAGCGATCATTTTTTACAAAGTCAAATTTGACTAATTTCATTCCAATTCATCACAATTGTAATTTTTTCTCTTGCAAAAAAAAGGAAAAATGCCATTTTTCTTCCTTTATTTTGAGGAAGCCTTAAGTATTGCATGTGTTGAGAAAACATAAAAGAGCTCGTGTCAGATAAGCTGGGCAAGTTTTGGAGTACAACAGTGAATTTATTTTTTTTACTCTTTTATTAGAGTTACTGTCTTGTAAGAATCTGCAGCCAGGACTGGAGGTGGCTGCTTCACTATAACTTTCTGTAATTTTTCTATGAGGTGGCAACACCAGCTAGAGCCAAATAAACAGGTACAGCCTCCTCCACTCCATGGCATCAGCTCAGCTTAAACCTCCAAACCTTGGCTCAGAAAAGTTTTAATAACAACAGAACAAATTAATTTGGGGAAAAGGCTGCAAAAAAAGAACAAAGGATAAACAAAACCCGGAACGTTTCAAAATAGTTACAATTTCATTTTCAACAGGAAAATAAATTAAAAATAAAAACGAGCCGTTGCTACGCTGTTATTGCGAGACCGAGACTGATTACCAGGTTAATAGACTCGGCACAGTGCAGCAAAATCAAAGCAAAATCAATTTTAATTTATTTTCCGGTTGAAAATGAAATTGTAACTCTTTTGGAACGTTTCGGGTTTTGTTTATCCTTTGTTCTTTTTTTGCAGCCTTTTCCCCAAATTAAGTTGTTCTTTTATTATGTGTATTTTGGCTGATTAAGTTGTTTTTCATTTAATAACAACGAAAGACTTGTAGAAAAATATTTGAGCTGATACAAAGGACATTGAATACAATATTTTTTTTTTCTAATCTCACTGTTAGTGGCACCATGTTAATTATATTCCGGTTATTTTCCCCCCTTTAGATGTTGGCATGAGCGTTGATGTGTCAGATAGTAGTGTCCGCAATGACTTTTTTCAAAATCTTGGATGGACTTCTCAAAGTAGTGCTCAAGAATCAATTCAAGGCTCCATGCGACCAAAGTTTTATGGGTTATCACATAAATCCAGCTAAGTTTTCTTAGAGCAGCAACAGAATGTGTGTAACTACATATTACTTTGCCTCCTAGTTCGCTTCTAATTTGTTCAATTGTTTGCCTCATTAATTTTTTATTTAACTTCAAGGATAAAAGTTAATTAAAATGAAGTTTAAGGACAACACTTCAGACAAAAAAGTGTCAATAAATACAGCAAAACTATCAAGTGAAAATTAAATTCACCCTGTATTCACCTGTATATTTTAAGCCCCTGTAGTAGTAAACTCCTTGTTTTTTTGAGGTGTTTTACAAAGAAAAAAAAAATGTTTCTCCTCCCCCCAAGATTTTTCAAGCTTGCCGTTTATAGTGACAGCCAAACTAGCATCCACGATTTCTGCCTGCTAAATTACTCCGGTTCAAAACTTGCAGTGAATGATCCTAGCCTACCAAAGCACACAATAACCAGTGAAATTTTCCTGAAGAAAAGAGTGAGATGAGATGAAATAGATGTAGCCGTTGCACAGCTAGAGTAAAATCAAAACGAGAGAAAAGTAAAGGGAGAAGCTCATCCAATCTGCTGCCTAGTAATGTCATGCAGTGTGCTGCTGCCCTTTTGCTGAGCAGCTGCTGATCAGAAGGATCAGTTAGAACTTTGTTGAAGGTTGCATTGGGGGGGGGGGGATACCCCACGTACTATAAACATCCCCATTTTGAGAGCTGAAATAAAAATTAGAAAATTTCGCTCAATTGTTGCAAAGATGCAGCCCTTTAAAACTGAATCTGTTGGTTATGGAACCAGGATATTTTGAAGCTTTGACACTGCAGTATGCACATCTGTGAACTTGTAGAACTCTTTGTTGAGGCTCGCTTAGCTATTTACTGTCTGAACTCATCATATTATTTATTGCAGTATAGGAAGTGTCAAGTTTTGTACAGTGTATATAAACATGTAATGTATTCATGGTTTATTAACTGTTTTTAAGTATGTGTTTGTTCTTGCTTTCCCTGTTAGTCTTGGGAGCTTAATATTAAGGCTTAAAAACTCTCAACAAAACTAAATTTTGTACTTTTGAAAATCTGATTTCTTTTTCTCTTTCCAAATCTTTCATCTTTTACATGTTCGCTCGCAAAGCAGGTTTACTGGAGGGAAGTATTTGCTAGTCTAATTTACTCTTCTACTTTCATACAAAGCAAACATTCAAGTACAAATTTTATTTTATTTTTAATTTTGCCACTCAAATATTCCCCGCTTTTCATATTTAATGCCTCCTGAGCTAGCCTTAACATTTTTCAAGCACAATCTAACGTGATTAATTAATCATCTTAGAGATAGACAGTTTTGTGAGTTATTTTTTGCTTTTGGAAGTAGCTGATTTTTGATCACCTGTCTCTGGTCCTCTCAAGCTTATAAATTTTTGATACTCTTTTTACTGAAAATATATTCCTTCTGTGAAAATTCTTAATTTGCCAATGAGTTAATTTATGACAGAGGGTTCGTAAGTGGTGATATAAAGGCTGACTAGTTGTGTATTTGGTGATTTTCACTTTTGAAGCAAATAGCTAATTAGTTTATTGGGAAATGGGTGCTGCGTTTAAAAGATAGAATAAGCGTTTTTGAACATTCCGTAATGAACCCTAAGAGAATTGTATTCTACAGCTTGAATAGATGACTTCTTATAAGCCCAAAAAAGAAATCTACAAAGTGGCTTTATTGCTTTTCAAATTATGTTATTTTTGAAACCAGTGTTCTGTCCAGCAGTCCAATGATTGCGTATGTACAATGTTGCAGCAATATTACAAAGGGTGACTACAATATTGTGAAGTAACATATTAACATTATTGCTGTAACATAACCTGAGACCTTATCCAAATTGCAAGTAAATGTTGTAGCAATATTGCCGAGGCAATGAAGTAATTTGTTACAACGAATTTTTAAATTTTGCCAGAATTATTGACAGACAACACCGCCAGTAGACAATGCTCGGAAATATTACTAGCAACTTTGCCAGACATTGTCTCTGCACTGTTGCACTGTGGATGCTGTCTTGTGAGATACTACGCAGCAACGCAATGTAGTATCGCCAAGCAAATATTGCTAGGCAACATTACCAGCAATCTTGTAGCCACCCTCTTGCAGGATGAATTTTCCTCATAGTTGAAAAGTTAATGTATTCATCCAGCATGAGTTTGTATGTAACTAACTTAGATAAACGTATCAGACTGGAAGATTTTTTTTTTTTAAAAAAAAAAAAAAACAATATTGGGTTGGTGGCACCTATTTTTTAAATTCATTTTCTTTAAGTACTGAGTGAGTTGAGCTCACAGTAAGTAATTGTTTTGGATTTTATCTACTCATTTTGAAGGGGCCAAAATCTAGAATCAGTCGGAAAAATATTTTTGGCGGTCTCTGATGATGTAGGCAGGCAAGGGAGTCCGCAATTGATGATTGGCTGAAGCTCAGTTAAAGACGGAGTCAGTTACTTCATCATGACAGCCAGCCTCTGGTCAATCTGATTTTAATAAGCTTTTTTTCCCCTTAGAAGTGTTTTCCCTAGCTTCATAATGGGTTTTTTTGGGGGGGGGAAATAGAGATCAATCTTTAATCACTGCAGAAATATCAGGCCACTGACCCATTACTAGGAAATGTCCTCAGTCTTAGTCATCAACTATTAAAACCGCAGCTAATATTCTAAAAATTGAGGATGACTTGAGGAGGGTGATGGATAAATAAATAATATTTTAATGGTGTATCTTGAAACTATTGTATTGCTCGTTTGGTAGCCTGCATTTTTGTAGTTAATCTCTTAAGCTCCAGTATTATTATGACCAGTTCAACTGGCTGTATGACTGACGTGAGACTTAAAATGGCGGCTGTTATTTACATGTTACAGTCCAAAGTGCTTTCTCCAATGTTTTATGATCATCTATGCTCAAAGTTCCCTGGGCCATTAATGATAAAAAAAATTAAAAATTGAACTGAAGAGTAACAATGAAATTTTAACTGTGATAGGAATTCAAAGATAGTATCTTTGATAGGAACTACAAATGAGAAAAAAATAAGGTTAAACGCCTTCTTTGACATGCTGTTGTTGAAGGATGTCACAAAAATGCAGTAACTTTTGAACTGCCGAAGATATAAGGTTCATAACCCTTCAGAAAAGGCAATACCATCTCGCAGAAGAGGATCTTTTGACCTCGTTTTTAGGTAGCTTCTTATACATTCATATCATTTTTCACATACATTGCAAAATAAATAATTTCAAGTCAAAGGAAAGTATATGTGCTTCTGGGCTAACACTTGGCGCAATTTCGAGTTCAATGGTTAAAGCACTGAGATTTGACTTTGGATAGAAACAAAAAGAAAAGTTTTATGAAGTTCGTCTGTAAATTTGGACATTCTCTAATCTAAAAGGTCATTAACTGTAAATATCGATGACCTAAGTGTGAAACAACATAATTCCATTGTGATGTTTCAAAATTTCCATTCTTTTTTTTATTTTTTTTATTTTTATTTTTTGAAGAGAAACAAGCAAAATTTTCATCTTGAAACACGTGCTGAATATATCATACTATCAGAAAAGAAAAATCCCAGAAATTTTTTAAGATTTCACATTGACTAGTTATCAAAAGAGAAAATTTAGTATGACAGGAAGTTTCCAACGTCGCAATTGAAGATATAAGGCTTCGCCCTTTGGCCATCAATATGTTTCTGCTGTGGTCCAAAACAATTTTCTCCCCTGAAAATGCAACCCTGAATTTTCCCTGAATTTCCACGAAAAATAATTTCTTATGGAAGCTCTAGTACCTGAATGTCCATTTTCTCTGCTGCTCTTACAACTTTGATATTCATTTGCTTTACAAATAATTTTTTAATTCAAATGTAGACTTTTTTTTCTTCGATGCTTGATATTTTGTGATGAATACATTTGCAGCAATAAAGGATGGACCTATTTTCTCCTCTTTATGTATTTGTAAGTAACTTTAGAGTTTTGAGAAGTATAAATTCTTCACGATGTCAGAGCATTCAGTTACTCATCCTCCCCCATTAAAACATTGAAAGTCAATGATAACTTTAGCTTTCTGATGAATGTCTAGTGTAATAGGAGCAAGTGAGAGTCAATCAAGGCATTGGTTTTATTAATATGAATGTAAACCATAATATTTTAAACTTTATTCTCGATAAATTTTGCGTTTGAAGTCTGGAATATCAAATTAGTTTCGAAGTTCAATGACATCAACTCTGAAACAGGCTGGGCGGTGTTTTCGTTAATTGACTCCTTAAATTCCTGAGACCTATGTTTTCAAAGAAGAGTAAAGCAGTATCATTTTATGCTCATACTCTTAAAAAAATTAGTTCACAAATATATTTTTAGGAATGGAAAAATCTAGTTCTTAGTTCAGTACGGAAAGCATAACTAACTGGCTCTCAACTATTAACAAGAAGTGAAAAGAGTGTGAATAATATATTTTTGCACTTCATTATTAGAAATAAACATTTTAAATCTCCAAGATTGATCATAACCTTGTGGGTAGCTTTTTCTTCTTCTTTCATTTCACTTTTATTTATCTGAACAAAGGAAACACTTTTTTTTTATTTGAAATAATAACTAAGTTTTAGGAAGGTTGTGTGGCTGGTGACGTTAACAGATTTGGCCTTGAGTAAAGAATTCTAAAGTGAAAAGTCTCACCAATATTTTAATAGTGGAAATTCTTACAAATTTGAAATTTAAATATTTTTCTATTATTATTAGCCGCAGTATACATGTAGTTTTCCTCATAAGAACATGCCAAAATGTATGCAGCATAATTTGTAAGCAAAATACTCATAGTCTAAATGACACACTGAATGTCCATAAAGTTCACCAGGAAAAAAAAATGAGGTAACCGTCGGAACTCCTCTAAATAACTGCTTTGGCCCTTCCAAAAATGTGTGTTGTTCATAATTGCCTTTATTTTTGAGAAAACGACCCCAATTCATACAAGCTTTTTATTTCCAGATTGTTTTAAGTTGAAAAGCTACATAACATAACAATATATTGTAGGGAACAACATATTATACTTAGAAAACTATATTGGTTTCTGCACTGTGTTCTGGCAGAAACGGAATACCTAAGGAATTAAGATGCTTATATCTTGGATTTTTTTTTTGTGTATGAGATGTTGAAATTTTTCAGTCATGAGCTTATACAAATCCTTCAAAATTACCTACTCTGAAAAGAATTAAATTGCTGTGATATTGCGCTAGCACAGTGAAATAATGAGTGCCTCCAAATGCAAATTTTCCTCTTGTTGATCACAAAATGTAAAATAGTTTTCCACAGTAGGTATAGAAAAATCTATGAAAGAACCAGGGTAAAAAATTCAACATAGTAACATTTTAGATAAAAAGAAAGAAAAAAAATCCAAATTAAAATCCAGATAAATAAGCATAAAAGTTTTTTCTCCTGATTTTTCTCATTATCAAGCTACCTAACACTATACATAGGTATGGATTACATTTTGCAGAAAGGAACCACTATCTTTGGCTCTACGATGAAAGCACATATCTGCATAGGGAAACCAATGGCACGTATGTTGTTTCTAAAATGGGCAAGAAATAGTGGTTCCTTATTGCAAAATGTAATCCATATGTCAATAACATACCTGTGCATCCAGAATTTGACGCTATGGAGACTTTTCAAATGCCAATCTATTCTCTCCCAAAATGCCTCAAAAGAAAAGAATAAAAGTGTTTAAAAATACTCATATCTGACATATCCTGGCATATGACTCATATCCTTTAGAGAAGGAGATTTTGGAGTTGGTTGGTAAACCAATTGGGTTTTCCATGATATAGTTTGTCAATAAGTGCTAGTAAGACTAAAATAATAGTAAAATATTCATGATGATTAATGTACGCCATGGACTCAAATGCAGTTGAAGTCATCAAATTTCTTCAACTTTTTGCTGAATTCCTTCCAGAAATTTTGTTCATTTTTCTGTCAAAATATTTATCTAACTTCAAATTTTTCTCACAATTGGTTCTTCTAAGGCGATGTGTATGTATGACCATGCTTTATTTGAGATTGATACCCCAGTTATAGTAACTTTTTCGAGTAACTGCGTGCCTGCGGAAACGATAGTTGTTCTGGAGGACATGCTAGACATCAAAATCAAGCAACCTCTCCGAATTTACGTGTTGTGATTATTTATGTTCGAAGCTGTCAGCTTCTTATCGTTGCTTTGATCTCACTTCGTTTGTTTTGTATGAGAAGAAAAGAACTTGCGTAGTATTGTATTATTTTGTCAGTTTATTATTAAACTTTATCTTGAAAAGACAATCCTAATCTATTTCTTTTCGATCTTTTTCACAACTTTAGTAAAAACGCAGTGCCTCTGTTTTGTGGCTCCCAATCAAACCACCATTTTAAGTCAAAATCATTCAAATGTACATCGATGACCCAAGTATGAAACCACGTATCTCTGTTCGCAACGCTGCAAACCTCTTTTCCTACTTCTTTCGCTGGAAAAGCAGGTAAGTTTTCTTTGAGAACGTGATTTTGTAAAAACTTCCTTGACTTTTTAAAACCTCCTTTTCAGGGCCGGATTTACCAACTTGCCGCCCATGGGCCGCCTGCATTTTGCCGTCCCCTTATCATTCATTTTGAAACATCAATAAAAACCATTAAGTAAAACGTGCCAAAGGGAGAGGGGTGCATTAGACGCGTTCATTCTTGTTGGACACATTATTTGCGAAAAACCCTGTCAACACCACTAGCAAAAGTTCACAAAACTTTGCGGAAAAGTTAAGTTCCGTATACCTATCTCTGTGTGGACGAGGCCTTCCATTTGAAGAAATGAACGAAAAAATTATGAAAGAACAAACATAAATGTGATTTAATAATTTTAACTTCCGCCGCCGCGCCGCGTTGACTGCAATGGGTTTGGCGCAATTCGTAAAGTATTCCTTCAGTCTTGTAGGCGCTTTGCGTTTTACGCCGACCGCTGCTGACCGCACTGTGTTTGACGCAATGCGTGAAGTATTCATGCAGTCTTGTAGGCGCTATGCGTTTCACGCTGACCGCACTGTGTTTGACGCAATGCGTGAAGTATTCATGCAGTCTTGTAGGCGCTGATATGTGTTACATGCCGACCGCCGCGCCGAGGGTTTCTTCTTTTCATCTCAAGTCCTCGTCATCATTGCTCTATGCGCCGCGCCGTTCCAGGCCAAATTGCGTGTTTGGTTTCTCTCTTAACTCGACTAATTAAAGGTGCTGTCTCTTGTATCACCGAAAGACGATAAAATTAGAAATTACCATATTTTGTAACCTTTTCTCGTCTGTAATTTTTTTCTGAATCCGATTTTTTTAATATACCTATTTTTAAAAAAATTTTAACATTTGCCGCCATGGGCCGCGGCCCATGTGGCCATCCCCTAGATCCATAGAGAAAAAAAGGAGGTGTTTGCATTTCGGGCATCTTTGAATTTTTTGATGACTTGATGACGTAGGTGGGCACAGCGACGTTTTTATCCTTGTCGATTTTCTTCGAAATGGTGTAATTTAAGGGAAAAAGTCATTCTATAAAAAGTGCTTGAAATTATATAATGAGTTGATTTAAGTAAAAAAATCTGACATTATGGTCCGTTTTTCGTATTTAGCTAAACGTCGCTGTACCCACCTACGTCATCAAGTCATCAAAAAATTCCAAGATGCCCGAAATGCAAACACCTCCTATTTTTCTCTATGCCCTAGATCCGACCCTGCCTCTTTTTCCTAAACATCAATAAAGCTGTCACAAAATGAGGAACTCAAAGATCCAGTATAAGAAACCAATTTCTCAGGCTTTATTTGACTTGAACAAATATTTAGGAACAGGCCAAAGTTATCTTTTCGCAACGGAGGGTTGTTGTCCAGAAGACTTTATCTGCGTTCTGGAGGAGAAGGTGGAGAGGGCGGTGGTGGAGGCGAGGGAGGCTTAGGTTTTGGCTTGGGTTTCGGCTTAGGTTTCGGCTTGGGTTTTTTGTGTCTTCTTGGTGAAAGAACTGATTTGAGAGGTACCCATTCAATCCTTCCTCCAGGTAATTTCGGCAAGTGCGGCAATGTAGGCATATGCTGTAATAAATTATAAAAAATTGATCATGAACAAATTTTCAATTTACAATCGGCAGTTTTGTTCCGCCAAAAATAACGAATAATTGGATCGCATTTAGCAAAAAGGAACCAGCGCAATCACAGTGTTTTCAAAATCGCGCAAGTTCATCTTTCCTTTAAAAATACTCAATATAAGTACAGTATTAAAATTTACTCAATTATTTTCCTTTAAAATTGACAATTTTTTGGTAGGAAGCATCAATTAGGCATTTGCTACCTATTTTGAGAGATTTTTCCGATCGTTATGAAGAAGCAACATTTTTACAAAACTGTATTGCGCTGGTTCCTTTTTGCTAAATGCGATCCAATTGACGGGAGGAAGTACTCAAAGGAAATGACGGAAAGTTCATTTGAGGGACTTGGAGGACACGGCGCATGGGTGCAGTTCCATAGAGAAAAAAAAGGAGGTGTTTTGTATCTTGAGGTTTGTTTATCCTGTGACGTATAGGTCGGTACAACCTGACCAGCGAAATCCGGAATTCGAAGTATGAAAAACGGACCATAATGTCTCATTTTTTTGCTTAAATCAACTTATGATATAATTTCAGGCACTTTTTATAGAATGACTTTTTCCATAAATTACACCATTTCCAAGAAAATCGATGATAAAAGTCGCTGTGCCGACCTACGTCATCAAAAAAATTCCACGATGCCCGAAATGCAAACACCTCCTTTTTTTCTCTATGGTGCAGTTCTTGCTATTTCAAGAAATACGTGTTTACCTAAATTGTTTCAAAATTTCTTGTTGCCTTATGGCAGAAAGGAAGTTCAAACTCACTTTTTGATGCCTTAAAGTTGGATTTTAGTCGTGAATTTTTCACAGAACATACTTTCAAACTATAGTTTCAGTTATGTTCATGAATATCTCAATGTTTCCAAAAACTGCACTTTTGCGCCTTGTCCTCCAAGCCCCTCTTCTGTTATCAGACCGAATGGAGATCTCATGATGTGTTAAGCTTTGCCGCTCAATCCTCTTTGTTTAAATGGCCATTTTCATATATATTTACTGACAAAGCCGCCAAACTCTACGCTAACTTGATAAAACGCCTAGTAGCAACTATTCGTGCTTCGGATATGTCCGTATTGCATATTGAAAAAATGAAGGCGCTTCAATATCTCCTTGTCCTCGAATAATACGATGCGATGTGTGCGGCGCTCACAACATGACGAAAGGAAGGGGTCAGAGCCATGCAAAGAGGCCTCATTAATTGCAACGTTGCAAAACTTCATTCGCCTGATTTTTGGTGTACATTCCTCGAGACTTGACGGAACTTTCCTGAAATTATTAAGATGTAGTAGACACCATTCAAGTATGCACACATAGTACGGCAGAATGGACCACTAGACAAGGTTCGAATTTAAGCCTTGTGATACATGTTTCTTTACCAAAATTTCACGTAAAACACGATGCGCACAACGAAAATTACCGAAATCAACTTCTTACGAAGATATTTAATGATTCTTGATGCGTGAATTCAAACCTCTCGCCTTGAAAACTCCATGCTCTACGTGACTCACATCGCGCGCTAAACGTTATCATGACAGTCTCTGCGATATAAAAATCTGGCAACCTCAATCTTGACGCTTTGGCTCAGCTGTAGCAAATTGCTTATAGTTTGAACAACTCATGGTGGAAAATGAACATTGCTCGATTGAGAAGCTTGCTGAAACCGTCGCAGTGCACGATTTGACTCACGTAGAGCTTTGAGTTTCTTGTGAGCGGGCAGTTCAAATTCCTCGTAGCCTATGTGAAATAAAAACGTTAATATATCCGTTAGGAGCTGCGGTTTCAGTGATTTTCGTTGTGCGCGCCGTGCTTCACGTGAAATTTTGGTGAAGAAACATGAATGAGGATGCTGAAATTCGTACCTTGTCTAGTGGTCCATTGTAGGTACGCCTTTTTTTAATTCAGCTATGACTTACCAAATTCTGATTCATATACGATGTCGCGAGCTGCGTCAAACCTTGTTGCAGTAAGTTGAGTGGTATCAGGGGCGGCGGGACCCCTATATTCTTCATCAGGATTCCCCCCACAGTGTTCGCTACCGTCCCCCAAGCCGGAGCCTGAAATAAATTAAACAGACAACCAATCAGATGGACTGGAGCGGAAAAGTTGCGATTTTATTGTTATTCTATCGCGATAAAATCTCCAGGATTTTAACATTATCATCGATAAGGACGTAACTTGTGATTCCACTGCAATCGCAATGAATTGCAATGTATTGCGATTTTGGCTCCAATGATACAAGAAATTGCCATTTGTAAAATCGCAACCTCTCGCCATCATTGTTATTTATTAAACATTGCATCTAATCTAGTTGCCACACTGGTACCTAAGAAAAAAAAAATAGAAGCGGAGCTGTCTGTAATCCTCCGACGTCAAGGTGTGGACTTCTTGTCGAAATGAATTATTCGTATAATCGTATGTAATTGATAAAAGTTCTGTGCACACCTGAGCTCAGGGCCCGATTACCGCACAGGCTGGCCAGAATGTTTGGGGCGCGAGCTTATCATACGGTTGTCCTCAGTTCGCCTTCAGCTGCGTCCGTAGCAATTGTTGCTACGAATATGTTGTGCGTGCTGATCTCAGTTCATTACATACATGACTGTCTGAAGGCGTTCTATGTGCGAAAGTGGAGCACCCTGTTGGAGTACAACGGAAGTGAAATTAAATGAATCGCTAAACTCCTACTTCGTTCGTTCTCTGACAGATAGCGCTACTTGTGCACATGAAACGCCTTCAGAGAGTCGAGTATGTAATGAACTGAAATCAGCACGCACAACACATTCGTAACAACAATTGCTGCAGACGCAGTAGCAGGCGAATTGTTCCGAATTAGAATTTAAAAAAAAGTACGATAGGAAGTCTGCATGCAACGAGAGGGCATGTATGAGATCGACATGGATCATACGGAAAATAAGAACGTGAATCGATCGACGTGAACCGATCGACACCGATTCAGTAGGCACATGAAGAAGCAGAAGAAAAAAAACTGGATCAAACTCAGGGAAAAACTTGCATTTTTACAAACATTTCAAATTCCGATACTTCGAAAATATGAACAGCCAAGATTTTGATTTTTCACGATTTTAAGTTTACGCGTACTATAGACTACCCTGCAAACAGTTTTAAGGTACATTTTTGTCGCATTTTTCTTTTTACATAAAGATCACTGTGTGAGGCAGACACGTGCTCCGTTTTATATTCTCTTTGACTTTGGGGCACTTTATATAGCCCATATCGTGTCGCGAGGAATATGTTTTGGAAACAGTTATGGGTAGTTCTTGAGGAAAATACACCCAAAAATTATGTTAAAAATTCTCTGTATTTATCATGTTTTGCTCAAAGAATATTCTATGCAAAGTTGAAAAGGTCGGCCCACTGTACTTAGAGGGTACCATGGATAATGGAGCTGAGTAACCCATTTTTAAAAAAAGAAAAAAAAATGAGGTAGGCACCCATGAGACATTTTGAGCAAAGTTCGCTTAAGAGTAAAAGTGACAAAATTGAAGACTGAATGAAGCTCGATTTTCTATCCTGGTATGAGCCTCTGCGTAATTTTATAGAGGTTAAATTAGAGCTTTGCTCGAAATTATGGAAGAAGACCACTGACTTATTCGTGATATCCTTTACTTATAATTCACCCTAATAAAATTTAAAGACCTAGCCTATACCAAGGAGGATGTTAGGATTGTTGGGCCTGATTTTGCTATCATTGCCACAACGGTTAACACCCCCTCCTCCTTCTGCTCTTAAGTATTATAAGCCGTGCCCTGCACAATTCAGTAATCTTGTGCTTTTTTTGTACAGCAAGAACTTATGGTGATGGTCCAAATAATTATATAGCATTTCTTTAAATGCAAAACGCTCAGGAACACACGCTCACACACACGCTCAGGAACGCATCAATGAACAGGTGACGAAAAGTAGTTCTAAAGCTCTTACCTGAAGAGCTCTTCGGTAATTTTTCTGAAAAGAGAGAGAAAAAAATGATCATTATACAAGAAAAATTGGTCACAAGTCATCATTTAGCATACTAACAAAATGCCGGATATTTCTGTAATCGAACAATGAGCGATCGTCAAATTCAAATCACATGATCGTGACAACTCTCGAAAATCGATATTGCGTTCATGGAAGTTGATTTCAGTCATTGGTAATCCCCCGGAAAATGTTAGAAATTTGTAAACTAATTAGACGCATTTTGAGGCTTCCGTGACGCAGATTTTCCATCAATGTATGCAGAAAAATTACGTTTCCTTTTTGAACTTTCAGCAAAAAAGACTTTTGAATTATACGCATTCAAAAAGATCCTGAAATTTTTTGAAATTTCAATTCTATTTGGACGCATTTTGAGGCTTCTGTACCGCAGATTTTTCGTAAATGTATGCGGAAAAATTACGCTTTTTTTACTTTAACACAAAATACTTTCGAATTGTTACACTCAACGAAGCTGGAAAATTTTTGAAATTGCAACTCTATTTGGACGCATTGTGAGGCTTTTCTGACGAAAATTTTAGGAATGAACGCGGTGTTTTCATTTATGACTCTACATTAAAAGAGATAAATATCTTCGATGGTCTCAAACATCTTCTTTTCTCGCACTTTCTCATCTTCTGTTTCCTCTATCCCTCTCTCTTTTCCTCATTTTTTTTTGCCTTCGGGGGGAGGGGGCTTGATCCCCCCAAGTCCCCCCCAAGCCCCCCCGCACTGGAAAAAAACCACATTGGATCTAGAGTCCAGACTCTTAAAAACATCGACAAGAAAAAATACTCTTGATTCAATCAGATTTATGAGCTTAAATCAAGAACCAAGCCTCTTATTAATTTGAGCGGATTTCCTTTTGATTTAAGCTTAAATCTGATTGAATCAAGAGTCCTTTTTCTTGTCCATGTTTTCAAGAATCTGGACTCTAGATCCAATGTGTTTTTTTCCAGTGCGACCATGTGCCTGGCGTATATTATCTATGTATATCGACTCATTTAAATCTCTAACCGGGATGTATTTGGCGATGGTCGAGAACCAATTATTGACCGGATTGGTGACCGACTGGACGTAGGTGGTGAGTTCGCCGGCGATGTTGAACTTGGCCAAGTCGTGAACCATGGGTGCGATCGACTTGATCTTCGAGATGACGCTGTGGAAGAACTTGACCAGAGGCGGCGGAATAGACTTATAGAGCTGGAAAAGGAACATCAAGTTGGATATCTGCTCCTTGTCCAAATTCCGGAGCTCGTCCATCAGATTCGGCATTTCCTTGAACAAGGTCTGCAACTCTGGGTTGTTGTACATGGCGTTGGCAATCTCCGTTGCTGACGTCATCGAATTGGTGATCCCCGGCAAGGTGCCTTGCGCCAGGGTGGCCAGGGAGGCCATCGACCAGTAATCCGAAGCCGCTGCAGCTCGCCGTGAAAGGGAACTGTCCTCCGGTAAATTCTCGCAGTTTACATCTTGAGTTGCGCGCCATGATGAGGAGATGAGTACCTTCGGGGTGTGTAGATATAAACGTATGAGTGTTATGCCGCCGTGCTAAGGAAGAACGCCGTATGAACATTCTAGAATTGCCAAATTTCCTTCGATAAAATGTGTATTTTTGAGGGAGAATATGAATATTTTTCTTTAAATTTTCCGGGTATTTAGGTGGAAATGCGAACGAAATTACCTGAAAAATTCGGAGGAAAATATTCATAACTTTGCCAGGAAATTCGGTTTTTATCGAAGGAAATGTGGGAACGTCTGGAATTTCATACGGCGTTCTTCCTTAGCACGGCAGTACGGTGAAACAATTTCGAGGGATGGAAAACCAGAGTCGGGCTCATAGAAAAAAGGCCTAGACTCTGCACATTATACATTGGGCGTGGAAGGTAAGGACTCCAGGGTTCAAATTTTTTTAAAAAAGTTAGGTGTACAAGGCCCACCCTTTGTGTTCAGATAGTCCAATGGTAGTAACAGCAATTTTAAAACTCTTCAAGAAACTAAATTTAAAAATTTAAAATTGCCTAGTCCCCGACGTAAATAGCCTAGATGCTGATCGTCGTTAAATAAAATTAATTATATATATATATATATATATATAGCAATTTTTGTCAAAAAATACGAGAAATTTAAGCTGCTTTTGGACAATTTTAACTTGTCGGCCCAAGGGTTCGCAGACCTTTGAGCACGGAGTCGGGTGGTAATCGCCACCCCCGCCACACAGTGGAACGAGCTCGTAGAAGAGGTCAGACAAGACATTTTTGTCTAAAATTTCAAATTTGTACGTTTATTTTGTCACAAATTCAATTTCAAGGGGTGTTCCTGCTAGGCAATGAAGATGTTGCATGTGTGAGGAATTTGTGATTTGACTAATGATTCTTGGGGAAAAGTTCGAGAGAAACACGACGGTGCCACTGGTTTTCTCTGAAATCAACTCCCAACCTCAAAAAAAACTCTCAAAGTGAGGCCAAAATGGAGGGGATATCCCACCCTACCATGAGAGCCCACCTCTACATTTACTACAAGACATTTTTGTCTAAAATTTCAAATGTGTATGTTTATTTTGTCACAAATTCAATTTCAAGGGGTGTTCCTGCTAGGCAATGAAGATGTTGCATGTGTGAGGAATTTGTGATTTGACTAATGATTCTTGTGTAAAAGTTCGCGAGGAACACGATGGTGCCACTGCTTTTCTCTGAAATCAACTCCCAAGCTCAAAAAAAGCTCTCAAGTTGAGGACAAAATATTGGAGGGGATATCCCACGCTATCCTGGGAGTCCACGTCTACATCAAGACAAACTCTCCATGCAAAGATAGGGAGCAAATACATTGACAGGGTTGCCGTGATTTCAGTTTTAGAATCCCCAAATAAGGTGCCAGCCCCGTCAATATTGTATTTTCTCCATATCCTTGCATGGAGGGAGAGTTTGTCTTGATGTAGAGGTGGACTCTCAGGATAGCGTGGGATATCCCCTCCATTTTGGCTTCAACTTGAGAGCTTTTTTCGAGCTTGGGAGTTGATTTCAGAGGAAACCAGTGGCACCATCGTGTTTCTCGCGAACTTTTACGTAAGAACCAACAGTCAAATTGCAAATTCCTCACACATGCAACATCTCCATTTCACGATAAAATCAAAGGAGCCACTTTTAAACATATTTTTTTCATATTTTCGAAAATATAAGCTTTCAAAGTTTCCAAATTTTGTCCGATTTCTCCTATTGACTCGTTCCACAGTGCGCCAGATACGGCAAATTTTGAGCGTAGGTTGCGCGTACACCTCGCTGCAGCACAGTAAAAGCACAAAATGTAAAAGAAAAAATTAAAGTGCTTTGGAAATTATAAAATTTGACACGGAACCACCAATATTTAAAAAACACACATTTTATTATTATTCTCCTTTGATAAATTGATACATATTTTTTTCCATCAATTTAAATGAGAAACATCAACGCAGAGTGTGCAAACATTTCAAAATCATGAGTTAAAAAACGCTGAGTATGCGAGTATAAATATTAAAGCCTAACAGAGCGGAGCGGCCGGCGTGCTGTCAGAGCCAGAGGCTCACTGGCGCCCACAAACCTAAGTGGATACTTCACGCATTGCACAATGCTTGAAGTATCCACTTAGGTTTGTAGGCGCCAATGCGCGTTTCGCGCTGGCCGCCGTGCGGCGGCGCCTGAAGCAACTATTTCACAACAGAGGTGTTGCACAGTATTATACGAAATCGAACGTTTTAAGAATGACAGGCATCCTTTAAAAGTACAGATTTTTCCTCGCAAAATAACTCAAGATACTTATCGTACACAGAAAAAATCGAAGAGCCTTTAGCTGAGGCAAATATAGAGGTTTATCCGGTTCAGGTATATAACAAGTTGGGAATTTCTTGAAAGATAATTAAGTCCTGTTGCAATAAAGAGGTGTAGAGAGTTTTAGTGAATTTTGTCTGATGGAATTGACGCTCCCCCATTTTTACCAAAACTCTCAACTATATTATATTATCCTCCGTTGGACCAAACAGACAAAACAAAAATACAAGCAAACCCTCATTCTTCCAAGACATTATACATTTTAATCCAAAAACGTCGTGAGCAATTGTCGTTTGTATTTACATGTGGGCCAATTAACTTTGGGTCTCAACTCGCACGTGGACCAAAACTCCCGTGCCAAAAAAACGCATGGACGTAAATTACTGGAAAAAACAGGTGCGCGGACAAAAAATCGTTGACAAAATGTCCTACAATCTCTATATCTGTGGCCAATAATGGAAAACGTGTATATCTGAATACAGAGTTGCTAATCCTCACTTGGATTTTAGTTTTTGAAAAAAAAAAATGCACAAATCGATGATGAAACTCCCAAACCACGTGTTTCGTTTGAAAATCGTGTCGTGTTTAAAAACTCTGCTCTAATTACATTTTCTTGAAAGAGAACACATCAATATCTTCCCTTGAATTTTTCACAGAGGTCTCTTCGGACAGGGAAGACAAATCACGGTTTCAAGTCACAAGTTTCACGAATTGAAGTTGAGTGATTTTCTGTTTAAAAAATGAAGTATCGCAGGAAGTCTGCAACGTCGCAAACCGAGTTACGTGGTCTGGTAATTTCACCATTGAAAAGTTTTTTTTTTATAATGTATTTTCTCATGTAAAAATATTAACAGTAAATTGGACCGAGTTAAACAGAAATGAACCAAGCCACATCAGTTATTGCCAAATTTAACTGGGCAATTTAATTTTTTACACGAAAATGTTCGCGTGAATTTTTGTGAAAATTTCTGTGAATTTTCTCCATAGTAAGAGGCAAATTCCTTAAAATTTTCAAAGGAATCTGCACAAACATTCTTGCGTAAAAAATCAAATTGCCTAGTTAAATATGTCAACAGCTGACGTGGCTTGGTTCCTTTCTGTTAAATGCGGTCCAATTTGAAGTAAATTTTTTGGTCATAGTTTTCTTTTTAAAAAAATGTAATGATCGTAGATTTATAAGCGTCGCAATTGAGAAAGGTACGCATTTTCGGACTCAAGCTATGGAGCCGCAGCAAACACCACTGGGATTTTAAGTCAAAAAGTTCTTACCGCAGCGACGCACAAAAATCCAGGTATCCGTGAAAACATCGCATGGACTCTGTTCCTCTCTCCGGCCGGAGAAATGATTTGGTTTCAAAAACATGGGCTAAATTTTAATGTTTGTCCAGGTGTAAATGTTGACGTATTGCCTCTTTGTCTCGTCGGCCGAGGCGAGAGTAATGTGGTCCAGGCGAGAATTTGCATCGGAAAGTGTCGCTACTTTTCCTGCCTCAATGTCAGCCTCCCGGCGAAACTATGCCAACATCATTAAAAGCGAATTTGCTTTTCCGGGACCAGTAAAACCTCAGTTCCCCTTTCATGCAATGGTGATTTTGATTGTTCGAAAAAGATTGTCGCCAAAAAGACATTCTCTACTTCTTTTGGAGGCTGGTAAGTTTTCTCATTTTTATTTTTTTAATCTCATTATGCTCATTTAAAGATGGTCTTTTGTTCTTTTTATTTCTTGTGTATCTGAGAATTGAAAGGAGGTTCGTGTGCTCTCATGACTCTTTTCACTCGTAGATCTCAATTTATTTCTCGTAGAAAAAATAAATTAAGCACCTAAGGTCTGATAAATTGTGGTTATTAGGTAAAAGTATTTAATGTAAACTTTCCAGATTTGCGACAGAAGTTTAAGTCTCCAAAGCTCTGCTTATCGTGGAACCAGGATCTACTATCCGCACGCATTCACGCGAGTAGCACAGTGAAAAGGAAATTATGACAAAAAAGAAGAAAAAAAGAAATATATTGAATAAAATGTTGCAATTTTATGCAATCTAAGTACAATTTTTTACCATAAAATTACTATATTTTTAAATCATTCGATCATCAATTTGATTTTTAAACAAACAATAAAATGAGTTCCATTTATTAACAAGTAGATAATTTGCATTGCGAAAAAGCATGCGATTCGTTTCAATATATTACTCGTGCTTACTGCAATAAATTTTAAAAAGTAGAGCTTCTCTCATTAGTGAGACATCAAACACACTAGATTGCCATACAAAAGCAATATTTAAACATCATTGACGATAAAGCCGATAAAGAATGCGTAAGCCAATATTTGCAGCTAGTGCCGCTACTGTAGTTTCGACCGTTAAGGCCGTAGTTTAAGGGCGCTAAAGCCACTGTTGTATTTCGCAAAAAGATAATTTTTGCAGAATAATTGAAAATTAAGAAGCAGGATTATTTTAACTACATAATAAAAGGATCTTGAATCTACAATATAATGCAAAACAATTTGGAAAGTCTCGTCACGTAAATACAGAAGATTCGAAAACGCCTTCAATTGAAGCGTGATACCTCATGCGTTCCGGAGAGTTCAAATAGTTGTATCCCTGCGCCTTAGCAAGGCGATGGAAGCTAAATATTTGAGTAGCGTCCCCGCGTTGTTTTTCGGTTTTCCTGTGCCGCTACTGTAGTTTCGACCGTTCGGGCCGTAGTTTAACGGCGCGAAAGCCCGGGTTGTATTTCGCAAATGGATAGTTTTTGCAGAATAATTAAAAATTTAGAAGCAGGAATAATTTAACTAATTAATAAAAGGACCTCAAATCGACAATATAATGCAAAAAAAGTGGAAAGTCTCGTCACGTAAATACAGAAGATTCGTTCGTAGATCTTGTAGGGATCGTCCTACAGGGAATGTACCTACAATTTTGATAGAATATGTAGAAACGCATCGAGTTTCAGGTACACTTGCCCCTTGATTGTCGTCCGTTGAACGAAAATCCGACCAAATGTCAATTTCCATTTAGCTGCTTAAACGTTCTAACAATGATCCTACATTTTTTGATGGGATAATTTTCGGTGACAACACTTTAGTGTACGGCTACGATATGGAGACGAAACTCCAATCGTCCTTGTGGGTTGAAAAATATAGTGCAAGACCGAGAAAAGAGAGACAACTTCGGTCAAACATAAAAATCGCAAAACACCCTTGAGGTTGCCTTGTTTCAAGCCACATACCAACAAAGCTAATTAGGATTTTTTAAATTTGTGAAGGTAGCGTTCTTAAATATATTTTCAGCAATCAGAAAAGCTCAAGAAAACGCAATTTGGACGCATTGTGGGCTAGTTATGACCAAAATCCGATTTCTAATCTAACAGACCTCGTATTTGTGAACTCAACCAAAACTAGTTCGAAAAGTATATTCTCTGAAGAATTCACAACCAAAATCCAGCTTTAAAGCCTCAAAATGTGAGTATAAACTTTCTTTCTGCCATAAGACTCCACTTAATCTTGAAACTTTAAACACGTATTTCTTGAAATAGCAAAAACTGCACTGATGCGCCTTTTCTTTTAAGTCCCTCAATTATATTCGCCCTCATTTTGCCGCATAGGCAACAAGCATGCTGAGGAGCGTGAATAATTATATTTCCGAAAATCACGCATAAATCTCGCTCCATAAACGTCGATGAAGCGCATAAAGTATGCGTAACCTATTGATATATATCGTCAACTGGGGATGTTTGCCCCTTGAGTTTGCCATATAGGCCACAAACGTAACGCGGAGGTTTGATTTCCTCTCTGCTGAGCAGTTGAATTATATCAACAGTGAAAGTTTCCTCTATTCCTGGTCGCGAAGGTGGTTGCCGACCTATTTAACTGACCTTACCTCAAGAACCTTGCGACTCGACAGCGCTGCGTACAACTTTTCAGACAGCTTGAAATAAATGACATTCTCCCCAGTTTCGTCCTTTGCCCAGGTTATTACGCACTTGGATCTTATAGATGAGACAACACTCTCCAAATTAGAAATAGGCCGAATTTCTTGACCTCAAAAAACATTCCTCGATTAAGAAATATCTTGCTGTTTAAAGAGACGATTAGATTTTTTTCTGAGGCCGTAATAATAGTAGTTGTCAAAAAGCGCTGAATGAACTTTTGAAACTCAGATTGAGCTCTTGATTTGTGCGACACGTAGTTACCTACACAATTGTCAAAATAAATTAAAACGGCTCTCGCGTTTTCGCTCAACTATCATTTTCAAGGGGAAGATGTATCGTAACTCGTACAATGGAAAAACGCCGCATGAACAATCGAATGCTGCAAAATATCCTGTGATAAAATATGAATTGTCTGGAAAACTTATGAATATTTTTCATCAAATTTTCCAGGGGTTTTTGTACGTGATTTAATGTAAAGTATTTACAAATCTGAAAAATCTATGAAAAACACTTTGGGAAAAAATATTTGGTTGGGTGAGATTTGGCAACGTCTGAAGGCTCATCATGTCTTCTTTCTTCGGACGACAGTCAAAGAACTGGTATTAAGGGTCGTGTTCATAACGTTTAGAATTAGATGCCTAAGACTTTTATAGTACCCAAAGCCCCAAGTCGAGTCAAACAACCCGAATATGATTACATTGATTTGATAGTTTGAAAGTATTATCAGTGTTATTCGTACGTTTCTAAAGGGAAGAATTTTTTTTACTGGCTCTTTCTCATCATCTTCCCCCTTCTTCTCCCTTTTAAAGGGGAGAGGGAAAAGGAACGGGCATAAAGACAAATATATAGTTGAACGAAGGAGGGTCATAGCAAATGGATTCGGAAGATAAGTTAAAAAACGAGGTCGGATTACATCTTACCTATCTTCATTTGGCTGTGTTGCTCACGTGCCCCTAGAGGCACCACTACGATGAGCTCGCTTAGTAATGTTTATTTCCAGAACTTTTGAAAACTAAAGAGTGAGCATAGTTCACAGGAATTGCCCCAATTTTTTTCAACAAAATTAACCTACGAGAGATGACATTGAACTTGCGTATTTTGAGCTCGATTTCTTGGGTTAATATTGTTTAAAGAAAAAAATCGGGGAAAATTCCTGTGAAAAATTCACACTCTCTAGTTTTCAAAAGTGCATGAATTAAATATTATTAATAAAGCTCACTAAGACAAACGGAACCAACACAACATGAAAATAGAGCAAGGGAAAGGACGCGCGTTGATGACGGCGCAGAGATACAACTATTCGTACTTGACGGATGTCCGTGTTGCATACCTGCAAAATTGAAGGCGTGAGGAGTAAACTCGCAATGCTCCGCGCTACGCTGCCAATGATGTGTCGCTCAGTTTCGGGAGGAAAGTTTAAAAACACGGCACGAAAAAGTCTGTCCTACCTTCGGCTGTATTGGCACTAGATTTGTTCTCTTTTTTTTTTCAATTTAGCGTCTGACTTTTTTTAAGGATGGATTTGTAGACCTATATCGAAAGCACACAAATATCGGGGAGCTTTCAAAATAGCATCATCAAAGGGATAGTTAATGCAAACTTCGAGTGAAATTCTTCAGCATTAGAACTTCAGAAATGGGTCCTTAAAATGCGGACTACTATGATTTGCAAAGTGCAAATCACGGAAAAAAAATTCTACGAGTGCAAACCTACCTTAAAATTTACAAAACTTGCTATAATTTTTTTGTTTCGTAATTTGAACCGTATGCAGTAAGAGATCATTGTGAACTCTTTCAATGCACGGAAAAAAATTAAATTGCTGATTCAAAAATTCAATTGCTAAAAACAGTGAGTGCAATGTTTCAGTGTAGATTTTACAACAAAAAAATGCTACTCTAACTACTTTGTAAACTAATTTAACCACGGGGGTGGTTAAAGTAGCATTTTTTTGTTGTAAAATCTACTTTGAAACATTTCACTCACTGTTTTTAGCAATTGAATTTTTGAATCAGCAATTTAATTTTTTTCCGTGTGATCCATTTCAGAAGTTATACTATTCGAGTTTTGCAAAAATTGTCCTAAATAATGCTAATGCTATGCCTAAATAATGCTATGTTACGGATCTCCTCGAACCTCCCCTGAAACGGAACCATGTTTATTAAGACATGAGCCCTGAGACCCTTTAGAATATGCATAACACGGCTCACGTCATAATGCACATGGCTCCGTTTGACAGAAATACGTTCATTTGAAAATTGAATGTGATAACGATCCTAAATCCTAAAAAGTAAAAGTGCCGTCGTGATCGGAATACCACGGGCGGGAGAGTCTCCATACAAAATTGGCGGGAAACTTTGCGGCTTGCTAACCTTGACGCCGATGAATACGGAAGTGAGCGTCCGGGCGCGCGACCCAATTCTTTGCCAAACGTTGGCCCCACGTCCCTTTCCCTCTCTCCGTACAGAAATCCGATATTTTTTCTCGTTTTCCCTTTGTCGATTCGCACTCCGCTACGTTTCCGTGCTTTATCCTCTCGCGGTGATAAATCGCTGCTAATTTGTAAAACTTAAGTCGTTTCAATTTGTTTACAAATTCGCACGCGGGAGCCCCACAATAGGATGCGGCGTGCGGTCCGGAGACTGACAGCTCAGGGCATTGCCGGGGAACGCGGCTCAACTTGTTTGACTTAATGGAAAGAAGGCGTTCCGCAATTATTTATAGTCTCGCCAAAATTCAACTTCCTTCCCATGTTCACTGTATTGTCATACTTTGTCTCGACAAGATGTGAATCAGAATGTCTGGAAAAGGAGAGGCTCGCCTCGTACGAGGACTTAAAGAAATGGTTTGAAACAAAACAGCCATAATATTTGAATCAGTGAGAACGAAAACACACCAACTCGGAAAAATGAATAGAATCAAGACACACGCGAAACCGAACAGTAAATGAAGAAATTAGTCTTAGAAAGATATTTTTGGTGCCGGAATACAAGCACTGAAGGGCATTTTAAAGGTCCAAGTCGGAACAGATTCGCTAACTTCAATGACTTTTATAAAAATTGACCGTCTCTTATGAGAGGTGAGCGATTTCGAGTTACCGAGTTGGTGTGTTTTCGAACTCATTGATTCATTTGTGTTAACTAAAAATATAGTAGAAAACTAAATCTAAAAAATCACAGGTCCTCTCGCTCTCTTTAGACAGCAGTGTAGCAATGGCGCCAGATACATATCGACGGTGAAACTACCAAACCACGTATCTCGTTTGCGGTGTTTAAAAATCTACGCTCGCATTTTATTTTTTTGAAGGAAACCAAATCAATATCATTCCTTGAAATTTTCACAGAATTTTCTCCGCCCGAAGAGGAAAAATCACAGAAATTTTCAAGACTAGATGTTAAGTAGTTTTTCATTTAAAAAATAAAGTATGACAGGAAGTCTGCGACGTCGCAAACCGAGATACGTGGTTTGGTAGTTTCACCGTCGATATTTACATTGCCAGGGCTGCATTAGTATAATACTATTAAGTCTCTTGCATCTTCGTTGCTCGCGTAGTTCTTGAAACAGCACCACAAATAATACAAATGGCAGCCGACACTTCACAGAAATAGAGCAAGGGAAAGGACTTGCGTTGCTACGGCGCAATGATACAAGTATTTGAACTTGATGGATGTCCGTGCTGCATCTGCAAAACTGAAGGCGCGATGGCGCGCGGCGTGAACTTACAAAGTCCGCGCTACGCGCTGCCAATGAGGTGTCGCTCAGATTCGGGAGAAGGAAAAAAAAGAGGTTCGAATGCGTTTGAACTTTCAACTTAAACGGGTGATCGTTATCACAGTTCCTTTTAATTTCATTGATTTTCAATGGAACACAACAAATACATACGGCAAATTGATATCTATATATCGATATATAGTGAGTTAGGATCGATTATCGCATGTATGGCGATATACATCGCAAACAAAGGTGCCTAGCAACGCATGCTTAGCAACCGTGGGGGCGGGCGTGGGCCCGTTCCTTTCCCCAATTTTACCATTTTTTGAAAATAAAATCCCGAAATCACGACAGGGAGAAAATCGAAATAGCCAGTGTCACTCACCGAACCGGGGAGGACCGGTATACAAATTTTAGGGAAGATCGGACAGACAGACGGTTTGACCCTCATTTCATAAAAACCGTCAAAACCGATCTATACTCTATATATAATATTTTTTCGAAGAGGAATAAGGCAACTTTATAGCTTGAAATCTATACAGAATATTCTACTGACTGAGAAGAAAAATCCAGGAAGTTTTCAAGTAATTACGCTGACTAGTTTTTCAAGGATAAAATAAAGCAGGACTGAGTCTACAACGTCGCAAACGCAGATACGTCACCTTCCACTTTAGCCATCGATATGGACCAGGGAAACCTTTTTTTTTTTTAAATAGCTTGCTATTCATTGCTCATCGGAGAATTTTATATTAATTGGTACCCTTCATTTTGTCTTTCCTCTTTTTCTCAGTCTCTTTTTTCCCCTCTCATTATAACACCCTTGTTGAGATGACGCCTGATGCAACTGCTCCTTATGCGCCACCCTCAATCTGGTCCTGTCAATAATTTACAAGCGCACGTGTGAAAATCGCCTTCAAAATTGTAGGTATGCAACCCTATGACCACCGGTTTAGTTAAGTTAAACAAGGCTCCGACGAGATTGTATGGGACGTTTTGAGGAAGTTTTCAGATTCAAGAGATTTTTAAATTTTAACGTTCGTGTATAACTTCAGGTCACATATTGCTACAAGGAAGCCCCTATAATTTCTCATGTCCTCCATATTTACCTCGCCATGATTATGAACCCATGGGTAATGTTTCCCCTCATTGTATGAAGATACCAGTGCAAGAGATGGTGTGCCAACAATTTTAACATGATGTTGACAAAACCATACGTAAAACGCTTATCTTGTTTGCGGTGTTCCAAAATCACCGCTCTCATTTTAGTATATAGAGGAGGACCAACCAACACTACTGCTCGAAATTTTCACAAAGTAAACTCCACACGGCGAAAAATCAGAGAAGTTTTCGAGAAAAGATCGACGTTGATTTTTTCTCAATTCTAATATGTAGATTAAATTAAGTCAAGAAGTCTGCGAAGTCGAAGCAAACCGAGGTAAGAGCTTTTGTAATTTCACCACCGCACCGTCCTATTGACCGAGTCAGTCGGACAAGACCTGGAAACTTTCAAAGCTTATGTTTTCGAAAATATGAAACAAAAAAGTTTACGAGTGGTTCTAGTAAATGATTTGTGTACAATTTTCTTCCAGCAACACCCTTTGAAATTGAATTTGTGACGAAATGAAAATAAAAATTTGAAATTTTAGCCGAAAGTTCATGTTCAACCTCTTCCACTAGTCGGTTCCACTCAGTGTTCGAAACTCACAGGCGCCAACGCGCCAAATGCGCCTAAAAAATCGGCCATGGCGCCTAAAAAACGAAGGCTCTGTGCCAACGTGGCCCCTAAAAATTTCCCCTAGAAATCTGGATTTTCTCAGGAAGTCACATAAAGAAAGAATAAAAATCCAATCTATTTGAATTGAAAAAAACCTCAGAATTTTCAGCACTGCAAGTGAAAGCTTTGCTTTTCCAATTCTTCACGATTTCATTCTTAGTGCTTTTGTCTCCCCCAAGTTACAGCTACTTACTTAGTTCTGTTACGAAAACATCTTGCGTTTTACTTTTCACTAAATGCGCCGTAATATATAGGTAAATAGTCAATTTGGCTAATTCTTTAATGGCACCTAAAAGTCGGGCTTGATGCGCCACATGGCTCCTAAAACTCAAAGGTGAGTTTCGAACACTGGTTCCTTTGTGCGCGTCGATATGGAATGTTTACCTTTCACATTAATACATATATTTCTACGGATTTGCGGGGGAGATTCTTGCACCGGACTGATTTGCCCGTGAAATAAGCCTAAACTTAGAGGGCGAAATATTGGAGTTATACGCACAAGAGTGAACTACATTCCAGTCACCCCGCGAATGCACTTTGTGGAATGCGGCCTGAGTGCAATTTGAGACCGAAAAATTCGCTGGAAATTTGGCTCAAGTCCCAAGCCGCTACAACATTAGGTTAAACGCTCGGCAAGGATTCTTTTGCGCTGGATCCATACCACAGTTCACATATGATTATTTGTAAACAAACGTAGGTAGGCACTCCTCTCCCTTGCCAAAAAGAAAAAGAAAAAAAACATTAGCCGCACGCGAGGAATTCGTTTACTTTCAAGTATGTGGGAGTTCAATGATTTCAGATTCTTCAGCAACCGAGTACAGTGGGAGCAGTGGAATTTTCCGACTAAAAAATTTAGGGGACCAGAACGGACCACTAGGCATTGTTTGAATTAAAACATGACGTAATATGTTTTTTCCTAGCGTAAAAAGAGTTTCGCTCAACGAGGCGTTCGAAAATCAACATTTATGAGAGATAACGACATATCGACGGTGAAACTACCAAACCACGTATCTCGGTTTGCGACGTCGCAGACTTCCTGTCATACTTTATTTTTTAAATGAAAAACTACTTGACAACCGGTCTTGAAAATGTCTGTGATTTTTCCTCTTTGTGCGGAGAAAATTCCGTGAAAATTTCAAGGAATGATATTGATTTGGTCTACTTCAAAAAAATAAAATGTGAGCGTAGATTTTTAAACACCGCAAACGAGATACGTGGTTTGGTAGTTTCACCGTCGATATGGACTACATTTTGCAATTAGGAACTATAAATTCCGGCTTGGTTTAAAAACAACGTATGTGCCATTAGTTTCCCTATGCACATACGTGTTTCTTAAGATGAGCTAGAATTTATAGCTCCAAATTGCAAAATGCAGTCCATAAAGAGGGCTGACGAACAATACCGCCTAACAGACAATTTTAGCAAAAATGAGTCAACAGCTTTGTCGCATTCTATGGTGTAAAATACGCAGGCTGATGATTTTAGTTTCTTCCCAATTCTACAAGGGAGCACTTGAGTGACGCTGTAATGTATGGAAAAATTGCATATCTGACCTTGAAATTACAAAAATGGCGAAGTTTTCTCTTCGTTCTGCGAAATCTCAGTTTGCAGATAGGCGGTATTGTGATCGTTAGCCATCGATAAACGTACTTCTAACTTAGATCAAACGAAACTCAAGTCATGCAAATGACGTCATTTATTTTATTACCATCTAACTAAAATGATAACCGGTATAAATACTTATTTTTTTATTGAAAATACTTCTAAGCTCCCCCCTTTGTGATTCATATTTTACGTAAACTTTTCGAGCAAAAACAAACCATGTAACCGCGGAGTGTTTTAGTTTATACCCTGTCAACTGCCTCATTGGCACTATCGTGATACAGAGGCTGAACAGAATGCTATTTGGACTGCATTTTGCAATTTAGAACTATAAATTCTGGATTTTCTGGAAGAACACTTATGTGCATAGGGAAACTAATGGCACATACGTCGTTTTTAAACCGGGCTAGAATTTATAGTTCCAAATTTCAAAATGTAGTCCATTTCTCCTTCAATCATCGAGGTAGACCATGAAAATACACCTCGCACAGTGATAACTATATTACTGAATGGATGCGGGATGTGTCATCTGTTATTAACAAATCTTGCAACGGGCTATACCATGTCGAAACCCTACTTGAGGATATTTTTACTAGCTATTTCTTGTCATTAAAGTCGTTTTAATTTTTCTCTTTTTTTATTAATAAAAATATTGTTCATGAAAGGCATAAAAATAATTTATTCCCCGTCCTTTTGTTTTTTACAGAAGCAGTGCTTCTCTGGCGTATTTGGTCATGTATGAGTATTTTCATTTATTGAGTTGAAATATTGCTCATGAGCCTATGATAACCTACAAAAGGGCAATGGAGAATACAACACATTTGAGACATTTGTTTTCGGTAAGAGGCAGCATCAAAATTGAGAAATTTTGTGGCTCAAACATTTTTTTATACTATTCTGATGAGTATTATTTAAAGTACGATGTCAGAGCGATAATATATGAATCAGTTGTTTCTTTTTTTCAAAATGGAATAAGTCCATTTTTGCATGAGTCAGCTTGCGTAAAAGAACATTCTAATTAAGTCTTATCGAGGTATGGACCTGTCCCTTTTTGGAAACAACTGATCCATATACGACTGAAAAAATTGTAAAGTTACTTCAATATATCCATTCGTTTTTAAGGCGACTCTCTTCTCACACGTGGTATTATTGATGGTTAAATAGCTGTGATTGCCATGTTTCTTTAAGGTTCTTATTAAATCATAATATGAGTAGTTAAAGAGCCCAAGAACGCCACATTATACTAAAAACATCTTACCCCCCGTAAACCTTGTATGTATACTAGGAGAGATTTTTCATGTACACGCATGTCGTAAAGATAGTAATATAATACATTTATTTTTAGGGGTGCCTGAACAAAAGAGCAAAAGCAAAAGAGGAAAACTGAAAAAGAAATATCTTACTTTATTATCAAAATTTATGAAACAAATTATTTTACACAATGACTGATGCAATCATTGAGATTCTGAGGAACAAAGAAAAAATAACCTAAAGTTTTGACAAAGTTTGTTCTTAATGCTCATTTCTATAAGTAGTAAAACTGGAATTATTTTCAGAAAAAAAAACGAAAAACAAATTTACAGGCGAAGACTGCACATCTAGAAAGTGGTGGTTTTACGGTACCGCAAGCAATAAAACGTTTAAGAGATCATATTGTGGCGTACCGTACTCGTAGGAGCGACGTCTCAGGGTAGTCATAGTTTGTAGCGGTTTGGCGCCTTCATTTTTTCACGTATACGATACGGGCAACGGTTGAGCGAAAATAATTGCATCCATTGGGCATCGCGTAACATGGCGTCCCGTCGCGTATGGATGAATGTCTGGCGAAAGATGGACCGATATCCTCACACAAAGTGTTCAGACATCCTATGAAAGATAAGTGCGCCTGTCGAACCCCGTTCATGATGACATGAATAAGTTGCATTTATGTCGTTCCTGAATGAGACACTTTTAAAAGAAATAAGATAACTATTATTCTAAATACACAAATTGGAATTTTACAACTGAAAAAATAAAGAAAAAGAAGAAAAAAATAACATGAGAAAATGTAACATGTCGTTCCTGAATGAGACACTTCTTAAAGAAATAAGATTACCATTACTCTAAATACACAAATTAGAATTTTACAACGGAAAAAATAAAGAAAAAGAAGAAAAAAAAATAACATGAGAAAAGAAGGCGATAAAAGTGTATCTGATTAAGCGCTGGGTGCAGAAAGAGCATTTCTTGGTTGCGGTGTCTCAAGATCTCCTTTAACGTTTCTTCCACCATGGTTACAGCAAATGCATGGAATTCGTTAAACTGTTACTGAATTTTCTTTATGATTTTACAATGCTGAAAACTGGTAATTTCAGAAAATTCACCCAACAGTTTCCTCTCTAAGATATAAATTTGCAGTGGAGATTCTGAAACACCGTAACCAAGAAATGCCCTTTCACTGGGAAAAAAAACCACATTGGATCCAGAGTCCAGACTCTTAAAAATATCGACAAGAAAAAATACTCTTGATTCAATCAGATTTAAGCTTAAATCAAGAGCCAAGCCTCTTAATTTGAGCGGATTTCTTTTTGATTTAAGCTTAAATCTGATTGAATCAAGAGCCCAGTTTCTTGTCAATGTTTTCAAGAGTCTGGACTCCGGATCCAATGTGTTTTTTTTCCAGCGTTCTGCACCCAACACCTCAGTATATCATCGTCCTCGGTTCAATTCGCAAATTATACAAAATTTTCGTACAAAAACATCTTAACATTCAACGCATTTACAAACAGTAAAAATGGCGGCGGCATTGACCACTGACAAGTGGAGTACATTTTGCAATAAAGAACCACTATTTCTGACCCATTGTAGAGAGTGGTCGTTGAGATCGCTTAAACGGGATTCTACGGAGGAGGGATTTCAGTCCTCTCCGATCCCATCATAATCATTGAATATCCCGAGGATCTTCATCTTGATCTCCCTCTTGACTTTCTGGCTCCTCTTCCTTTTCAGCTCCTCGATGACCTCGCAGCTGAAGAGCTCGTCCTCGTTGAGCATCTCGCACGTGTTCCTGATCCTCTCGACTTTGGCCTGGAGCATGCTCACGAAATCGGAGACCTGGTTGCTGGGGTAGACCTCCTCGGAATAGGGCGGATGTCTCCTCTGTCCCACGGGGTCTCTGGACGTGGAGGCGACGAATTCCCGCGGCTCGTTCGTGTGGTCCCCGAGGCTGCGAGAGGAGGAGGCGGGGAGGACGGAGGTGGAGGCGGGATGGATGGAGGTGGAGATGGAGTAGTGGAGGCCGCTGTCCTCCACCGTGGAGCTGTTCCCTGAGACCTCGCCACTCCGGGGATCGTGGTCGCCCTCGTCGATGTACAGACCTTGACTCGAGGAATCGTCGAGGATCGCTGACGGCGGGACGGAGACTTCCATTGGTCGAGCTCGGACACACCGTTTTTGTCGACTGAAATGATGATATGAATATTAAATCATGCTAAAAAGAAGACAAAAAATCATAGAGTACATAGACATAGAGTCGTAATGTAAGTGGGAGAGCTGGCGCCATGTTCTGCTCGACGAATTCCGAGCCCGGTGTGCGCCGAGTTCGGGTCGCTTTTTCGATACATTTTCGATCCAAAATGGCGGTGTGGAATACATGGTAATTCCTAGAGTCCCTTTATACTGAGAGTCAAGACAATGCGAATCCATTTTTGATTGGTTAACCGGATTTTAGGCCTTCACAGTGTCACAAACGGGAATAAAGATTACATTTTCACCAATTGCAAAGATTATACAGGGTGATCCAAAAGTCCCTTCCACCCCCTCTAACTTTTTACCTAATTGAGGTAAAGATTTGAAACTTGGGGGATATTCCTAGGTCAAAGGGAGCTACTTTTTGGCCCCCCTAAAATTTTCAGGGGGGCCCCCCTTGGGGGGGCAACGGCCCCCAACTTTTAATTTTCAAATGGGAAGACCCCTTTTGTGATAGCTCGTTCGAAAGAGCATAAAAAAAGAAAACTTTTCGCGCAAACCCGAAGTCAATATCTCAAACCGTTTCAAAATGGCGGCCGGTTAAAGTTCAAAATGGCCGAAAATTCACATCGGTTATTTGTCGATGGATTTGCGCGAAAATCGGTATGTAGGGGTATTTTGACACGAGAAAAACGAATTTGACGTTAGATTTTCCAAAAAACCGAAATTTTCAAAATGGCCGCCGGTTAAAGTTTAAAATGGCCGAAAATTTTCACCTCGGTTTTTTGCTGATGGATTTGCCTAAAGCTTAGAATTTGAGAGTATTTTGGCATAAGATAAACAAATTTGAACTTAGATTTCTAAAAAAATCAATTTTTTGTCATTTTGAACTTTAACCGGCGGCCATTTTGGAAATTTCGGTTTTTTTTAAAATCTAACGTCAAATTCGTTTTTCTCGTGTCAAAATACCCCTACATACCGATTTTCGCGCAAATCCATCGACAAATAACCGGTGTGAATTTTCGGCCATTTTGAACTTTAACCGGCCGCCATTTTGAAACGGTTTGAGATATTGACTTCGGGTTTGCGCGAAAAGTTTTCTTTTTTTATGCTCTTTCGAACGAGCTATCACACAGGGGGTCTTCCCATTTGAAAATTAAAAGTTGGGGGCCGTTGCCCCCCCAAGGGGGGCCCCCCTGAAAATTTTAGGGGGGCCAAAAAGTAGCTCCCTTTGACCTAGGAATATCCTCCAAGTTTCAAATCTTTACCTCAATTAGGTAAAAAGTTAGAGGGGGTGGAAGGGACTTTTGGATCACCCTGTAATCTGTAATGGACCGAGGAATTTCGGGTTCGACAAGGAACAAACGGAATGAAAGAAGGAACGGAGAAAGGAATTTAAGAATGAGCCGATCAAAGATTACGAAAAACGTTCAATTTCTGTAATCTTTATTCCCGTTTGTGACTCCATGAGGGGTGTTGTCTTGACTCTCAGTATAAAGGGACTCTAGTAATTCCTATCTCCTTTGTTGTTGTTGTTGTTGTTGTTGTTGTCATCGGATGGCCGGGTACCCGTGTATCGCAAACAATCGCTTATGTATCGAAAAATTGACCCGGCGTCACACAGGAGTCTCGGAATTCGGGACATGAAAAATGCTTAAAAGTGGCGCCAGCTCTCCCACTTACATTGCGACTCTATGTACTCTATGCAAAAAACAAGCGACAAGTAGTGTATTTTTAACAGAGACAATTAAGGGTCCTCCACCGGTCTCTTGGCGACAGGTGGAAGCTTATACATTCGGGGATTTAACACTTCCTCATGGGCAATTATATGGGAGCAACAGGCATCATACCTACTAGGTGGATGATGAGCTTCGTGTGACGTCATGAGACAAACAAGTTTCCTAGAGTACCTGTATAGCGAGAGTATGGACAGATGTGAAACTCCGAAAGTCCATCAGGCCTTCACCGATGCTTCTGCGAATAAAGTTAGGGCCCAGAAATGCAGCCAACTTATGAATTTCAATTATCCAGAACGATTTACTAATACTGTTGTTACGAACCGTCGTTTATTAAGCACGTGTTTGACTCAGTTTTTGCATAAATTTACTCAATTTTGCGGAAGAACGCTCATTTATGTACATTCTTGGCCATCTTGGTTAGAATTGGAACCTGCAGACTGGCAGTGAAATTTTGTGCGTTAGAAGTTGGTTAGAAGGGTGGCTGCACTTTTGGGCCCTAAGCCCTCCATGAAGCGATCTGTCCATACTCTCGCTATACAGGTACTCTAAAGTTTCCCCAACTTCGGTTTGTTTGCGAAATGAAATATTCTGAACACGCGTTGTTAATCATCCACCTATAAGTGGGTAGGTGTAGGTCAACTGTTGAATGTTAAAGCCCCGAAAGTGAAAGCTTCCACTATTGCCAAAATACGTGGGGAGGGTCTCTCGTCTCTGATTTTTAAACGCTTCTTGTACACGCAAGACAATCGATTTTTGAACTGCCATAGACTCTTGAGTGAGGGCGATCAAAGTCTTGGTAGCATTTACTACAGTGTACCTAGTACATGGTATACAAGAGTATCAACGGCGAAATGTGAATAATCAGCTAAAGATTTTTTTCAGTTGGTTATATGGGAAAGAATCGATTATTGAGACATCACTTGGAAACACCCCGATAATCGATCTTATTCCATGGGTTTAAACGGCACATCAATGGATCCATCGCAAAGCACGCCACGTCACTGAATAGGACGCTATCAGAACTTTGATTCCCTTCACCTGAGAAACTACTTGGGTCCAAAATTAGTCCATTTATTATAATTTTTTGTCCATGAACTTGTAAATAGTTTTCATCCAATTGTAATGGACTGTCATTCTTGTCAATCGGATGCATTTTAAAAATTCAAGGGAAATATTCATAACATTCATCGACATTCAATTGTTCCACTGTTAAACATTTTGGAGTGAAATTCTGTGCCAGAGTCAAATATATGCATAGCGCCCAAAACCTCGCGTGATATGAAAACGAGGCGACATTTTTACCCTTACGGAATGACTTACCGACGCAGTATTATGCAGAGGCGGATCCAGCAATTTGGCAACACCGGATTGCCTCCATTTAAACCTATGCTAAATAATCGATTCTTATTGGCCCTTCTAATTTTTTAACAGTGTTATCAGAACTTTGGGAACTTTCGAATGCTCATGCGGAAATTTTTCTTTCAGAATGGCCGGATTGTGGTTCCCTTTATTTTCATCCATCCGTCTGAATAGCATGTATGAAGTGTAGCGAAGTATAATTTTGCTTATAGTTATTTTTGTTAGCCATAAATAATTAAGGAGTTATTTGTGCCTGTTGCACATCTGTATGCATCTTCCTTCCTTTATTCAAACTTCAACGGGACAATTTTCCTGCAATCACCTGAGAATTCATGCAGTAATCCTATTTCATTAAAGTGTAAAAAGTATAAATGATTCGCACTGCCGTGCTAAGGAAAACCGCCGCATGAACCTTCAGGCGTTGCCAAATTTCCTTTGATAAAACACGAATTTCCGGTAAACTTGTGAATATTTTCCCCCAAAATGTTCAGACAATTTTGTACGCAATTCAATCTAAAATGTCTGAAGATTTAAAAGAAAAATGTGCATGAATGTCGTCAAAAATACATGTTCTATCTAGGGAAATTTGGCAACTCTCCATGATTCATACGGCGTTTTTTCTTAGCACGGCAGATTAGGTGAGCTCTGTGGCACGCGTTCAAATATCTATCATTACAGACGATAGGGTGACACAGACGTCTCTTCTTTTCTTTATTTTTGAAAACAGCAAGAAGGCAAAAGAAGGGTCAATAGGATGCTTAAATTGTCATATCTTCGAGAAGATTCGCCACGTTTTCTCCCGGTAGAACTACAAAAAAAAAAAANAAAAAAAAAAAAAAAAAAAAAAAAAAAAAAAAAAAAAAAAAAAAAAAAAAAAAGAAGGGTCAAAACATTCATTTCAATGCCAGCAAAGATACTTACTTTCTTGGAAAAATGTAGGGGTCCAGAAACTTGAATAAATTATGATGTTCCCATTTGAGAGCGCCTGGTCCGTGTAGTCTCACTTGTTTTCTTTCTTTTATGTACTTTTCTCTGAGTGATTTCCATTTAGCCAGAACAACAGTCACTGGGAAACAGAGGTAAAAGAAAATAAATAGAGATAAATTGAAATTCGTGGAAGGAACTGAACGATCAGCACAATACATATAAATCGTTGCTACAAGGAAGGGAACACGTACTAAGATTTGCGAGACTGCAAATTCCGCGTACCTCCCGTAAACTATGATTTGATTCTTGTTGGTGTGGTAGGTTACATCGGTATTTCACTCTTTTCATTCGTGTTTTTTATAGTGGCCAAAGTCGAAACATGCGCAGGCTCGGACTGGCCATAAGGCCAATCTGCCATTGGCAGATACGCCACCTAAGCGCGCTGAAAATGCGCCCCTCTGACAGATAGCAAAATAAGAAGAGAAAAAAAATTACGACCGAGAATATATGCGGAAAATTCCTTAAATGAGTAAAGAAAGGTGCTTTTACACATGTTAGTAGTGAACAGAGGTCCAAGAACGACTTTCTGAAGCGTAAACACTAACTTCTCTGTAACTTCACCGGAAACAAACATAGTATGGAAATAGAGGGAGGGAAAGGATATGCACGACGGCGCAGAGATACAACTATTCGTACTCGATGGACGTCCGTGCTGTATCTAAAAAATTGGAGGCGCGATGATGCGAAGCGTGAGCTCTTAATACCCTGCTGTATGCTGTCAATGAGGTGTTATACTCAGATTTGGGAGGAAAGTTAAAAAAGAGGCCCGAATACGTCTTTCCTGTCTTCAGCTGTGTTGATACTCGTCCTTTCTTCTTTTTCAAGGTTCTTGTCTGATTCTTTTTAAGGATGGATTTGCAGACCTACGTCTTAAGCTTATGCAAACCGCAGCACTGGCTCGGTTCTTTTGGAGCTAATGGTGCTTGGATGCGTCTGGTGGCTTTAATTTTTTATGTTTAATTTAATTTTAGAAGTCTGTCAGTTATACTTCAGTACGTTCAATTTTGCAATTTTTACTCCTTACGATTACTTAATAAACTTTGAACCTAAAAATAGCGTAAACTTGTGCATGTGCTGCTTTGCCAAAATTTTCTGAACCCCTCTGCACAAAAGGGATGCCCCACCAGGAAATATCATATTAAGCCCCTTTAACCGGCCAAGGGTCTGCGCCCTCAGATGCGAGCCAGTCTGACCCTGAACATGCGTATCTTTCTACATTGCAATGTTTAAAAAGATCCGATTATTAAGATTTATATCTAATTAAGCCTCGATTATTAACCAAAATATCTCCTTAGTTCTCGTCGACAGATTGGAAGGAGCAAAGAAAATTTACACAAAAAGGAAAGTTGTGTTCTAATAAAACGACGTGTAATACAGTTCTAAGGAAAACTGTTTCCTCGTTTTATTAGAAAAAAAAATTTGAGCGACGGTTAGCAAGTCAAAATTAATAATTATTTTTCATTAATTACTTTACTTTTTAATAATTACTTTTTTATTAAAAAAATGTAATGTCACAACTAACCGAGACTGTTGTCACTTTTAGTGTTACGTCTCCAAAGAACGGTACAAATCGATCTAAGTAGATCGATCGATTCATGCAGGGTTGCAATTTTTTATGGAGAATAAAATCTTGAAATTAAATGTTGAAAATTTCATAAAATTTCAGAATTATATGAAAAATATTGACACTTTTCTTCGACATTAAATGCATAATTAAATGAAAGGCGAATGGTTATTTCTTCTTGGTACTTTTTAGCGCGTGCTGCATACCCAGTTGCTAAGAATGTTTCATTTTTTTCATATTCTTCGCAACTTTATAATATTTCATGAAATATATTCTTACAGAAATTGCTAATCTTTCGTGTTCTTCATTTCACTTCTGCAACCTCCCTAACAAGACAAAGGGGAAAGGGATTTTCAATCGAGTGGTTTCTTCATGCGCTCCTAAATTAAGGCATTTTTCGGTAAAAGGAGGTACACATTTTCCAGTGCTACTAAGATTGTGCAACATACATAGTTCTCTGGTTGTAAGTAACTTATCCGATAGTTCTGCCATGAATTTTCCCTGAATCTACTCCGAGTTTTTCCTCACTATTGCACGGCTATAAGTCGACTGTAAAATAATTTAATCTGCCGCAAATGCTTTCAAACATTGCACAATTTTAGCAGCATTGCAAGCGGCAATCATGCGCCCTTTGACGAGAAAGCCCTTAATTTTTTCACGTTACGCATGAGCATTTTCTGCACTCCTATTGCTGATTGTTGAAATTGGTAGACAAAGCGATAGACAAAGAAGACAAAAGGGACATGAAGGGATCCTATCGGTAGAAGGAGGTGTCTGCAATGGACAAAGAAGGTAGATAATAGACCGACTAACGGCAACCCACGAGAGACCCTGTAGTTGGTACAACATTTTCTCCACTAGTCTATCGGAACCAAACGTTTCAACCAATAGGATCGCTGCATACTCCCTAAGTCTTCTTTGTCGATCGCTTTGTCTATCAATTTCAACAATCAGCCCTTAGGCCCGCCTTTCTCACGAAAAATTACCTTAAATTTTCCCAATTCTGACCTGTAAAAGTCGTGATTAAACGAGGAAATGGTCCGGGCAGAGAGACCGAGTTCTACATCTACACTGCCGTGCTAAGGAAGAACGCCGTATGAACCTTCGACGTTGCCAAGTTTCCACCGATAAAAACTGAATTTACTGGGAAAATTGCGAATATTATTTTCCGAAATTTTCAGATAATTTTGTACACAATTTAATCTAGAATATCTGAAAATTTCAAGGAAAAATATGCACGAATGCTGCCAAAAATACGTGTTTTATCGAGGGAAATTTGGCAACGCTCGAATGTTCATACGGCGTTTTTCCTTAGCACCATAGGCGGTTCTAGACCTTCATGTTTGGGGGTGCCCAGCGATAGAAAATGTCGGAGACCGGCCCCAAAGGGGACGGTCGCTCAGGGGAGGCCTAATTTTCGGCCCTCAAGTTTTATCCCATTCCTACCCTCCTTTCTCTTTTTCTCTCCTTTCTTTCTACTTAAATACTTATAAATTCAACGTAGAAAATTTTTAGCAAAACTTTCCACCAAAACTACATTCTTACCATAACAAAAAAAAAACAGTAGAATCTTTGTAAAACACGGCTATCAATATTAATTCTGTTTAAAACATTTTCAATTAATTGCTGGGATTTTTTTCAGTGTGAGCGAATACAGAATCTTTAAAAGCAGTAATTTGGTCTTTTTTAGATCAATTTTCAGATTTAAAAAATTCATGAAATAAAAATATCGCCAATTTTTTGCGCTTCATAATACGATTTTTTCTTGACGTGTTTACTTGCCCAAAAGCCTCTTTCACGGTTCCAGTAACCGTACTTAATTTTTGCTTGGGGGTGCCCGGCACCCACTGGCACCCCCGTAGAACCGCCTATGCTTAGCACGCCCGCACGTTCAGTAAGTTCGAAATTGAGCGTCTCCCGCGACGATGAGATCGAGAATGAGAAGACGTTTATTTTGGCTGCCGAATTGATGTGCTGAGGTAGCTGACACATCCAGCGGAGCGGATCAGACGAACGATATGCGTAACCTTAAGCCGAAAATTAGTTCCTAGATTTGGACGAAATTTTAATGCATTTCTTTTACTCCGGACGATGATTCAATTTGAACGGACGCCAACCGGATACGGAAGCGACGGCTGCCCGCTCTCGCTCATTCTCGCCGCGACGGAACATTGAACGCGGGAAAATTGATTTCCGGGGTCGTATCAAGCCGAAAATGCGTTTTACTGAGATTTTGAGAAATCGGCTTTCGAGAAAGGAAATCAACTTTTTCGGAGAAGGAGAAGTCTGCCTGCAGAAAGTAGTGAACTGCTGAGAGGGGCAATAAATGAGGTCAACACGAAATTAAGAACTCAGTCATGTGTTTTTTCATCTTACGTTATTTGTACGTTGCAAATGATTCAAACAGGAGAGAATCGAAGAAACGACTTCCTGTGAAGATATTTGAATCAGTGAGAAAGAAAACACACTTACTCGGTAACTCGAAAATGCCTGATTTTCATTGAAGACGATCAATCATTATAAAGATCATTGAAGTTAGCGCATCTGTTGCTGTTCTAACTTAGACCTCAAAAATGTCCTTAAGTGCTTGTATTTCGACACCAAAAATCTTTTTCTTGGACTAATTTCTTCATCTACTGCGCAGTTTTGTACGTGTCTTCATTACTTTCATTTTTCCGAGTCGGTGTGTTTTCGTTCTCACTGATTCATTTTGAAGCTGGAGTTGAAACAAATGCTATCTCGTTTTAAATTTTCGAGGTAGGTAAGGAGAATTTCACTGTGCTCCAAATTTGATCTATTGGATGTTTTTTGTATCGTGTCACGTATAATCCTCCCTCGCGGTAAATTAGGTTCGTTAGCTAAAACTTGAAGAGTACGCTGATCTATTTTTCTGTTCAAGTCTCCACGATATATGGTCAATAAATGATGTACATGTAACACATTATTGATTACCATACTTATTCGGAAGTAAACAGTGCTCTTTTAGATAGTATGAAAAAAATGACCGACAAAGCTTTCGGCTCGTGTAACCGAATATTCAATTTTTGCATGGTGGATCGAAAGTTAGGTTTGATTAACTGAACAGACACGATCACTATACAAATATCATTTTAACTCCTGGATGCAACTGTTCGGACTTCGTGGATGTCCGTGTTGCATACGCGCGGAATTGAAGGCGTTTTGACTGTCCAGGCACTTATCACTTCACCCGCGCCCGCGGTGAACTTAACTGAGAGGATTCAAATTGGCAGAACGCTTTTAATTATCGTTTCTACCACAGAGATATATCTCCTACACACGAATAGTTGCGTATAGGCATTGGATGTGAGTATCTTTTGTGCTTTAGTTTTGACATCGGATGTAGTGAGTATGATTTGTAGAGCAACAATCCTTGTCCAAGAGATGCCTTTGAAGTATGAAGAATGAGGCACTCGGCTATTTTCGCTCTTTGCAGTAAAGCCCACCGCACAATGAAACTAGCCTTTCAGAGAGGTTTGGCATGAAATATTTGACTTAAAATTGTACGGGGTGGTCCTTGAAGGAAGTTTTGTATAAGTAAATCAATGAAGCCACTTGCTTAACGTCGATTTGAGCTTTCAATGTTTCCACATTTTGTATGGCTCGCTCCAGTGAGCGCCGCAGATGAGGCGGTCAGTGTTTGAAGTCAAAACGCTTTCACACCCGTGCGTATGCAACACGGACATCCATGGAGTTCGAATAGTTGCATCCAGGCGTTATAATGAAATCCGTTTGATGTCCGTCGCATGAGACGCTGAACATTTTATTGTTTCGCTTACGCCTTAACTCAATTCCAGCGTTGCCTATTGTGCCGATGGATTAAATCATAACTGATTTTTATCTCAACAATGTCCATTTTCCGAGAAATGCTTCATTTACCTACCTGTAAATTACAATTACCGACCCTCGAAATCGCAAAAAATTAGGTACCTGAGCATGATATGTAGAGTTTTAACGAGTTGTTTGTTGTTGTTAACAACTTTTTGTTCTGATATTTTTTATTTTTCCTCATTTGGAGAATCTTGTAAAATTTTCAAAGAACCAACCTGATGAATCGCACGGATTCTAGAACAAACTCGATGGCCATTCGTCTCCCGAAAAAATGAAATGCGTTAGGAAATTTGTAGCGAGCTAGTGCACGTATATGATTTCCTAGGTGCAGTTGCGAAACTATAGCACGACTAAGTATCGTAAATATGTATATTAACTAAAATTATACTATCGGCTGCTCTTTCCCTCCTGGAATGTGGGCTGCATCTAGTTAGTGCGAAATACTTAGTCACTCAAACTAAAAAAAATCGCAATCTGAAAAGAACCTATACGCTCTGTATGTTACGACTTTATGAAGCTGAGTCTATAGCTTTCAGTTGGTTTTATTATATTGGGTAGACTTACATATTCTACTGAACTGATTAATTCAATATAGTTGGTAGCAAAGACAAGGCGTATTTCTATAGAAACTTTAAGGAGATAATTCTTCTAAGTTTGCTCAGAAAATGTAAGAAGCAATGTAGAAGAAATGTAAGAAATGTGAGAGAAGCAATGCTGATATCAGACAACGAGAAAACTTTCAATTTATTATTCTCTTATTTTCCTGAATTTCCCTCGGTAAACAAAAGGGCGGAAAATGAGTTTTGATGATACCTACTTACAAATATGATGTTCAAAATATTTAAATTTTTTTGTAAGTCCCTGATGGGTTTGCTTTTTTTGAAACCTCTCTTCGAGGCGACGCCGTATGAACATTCGAGAGTTGCCAAATTTCCTTTGATAAGATGTTTACCTTTGAGGAAAATTATGAATATTTTTTCTTCAAATTTTCAGGTACTTTAGATCAAAATATTAACAAAATTCTCTGAAAAATTGGAAGTAAATATTCATAAGTTTACCAGGGAATTCGTGTTTTGCCAAAGACAATTTGGCAACGCCTGAAAGTTCATACGGCAGTTTTCCTAAGCAGGCAGAATATACTGCTGTCCTACGGAAAAACGCCGTACGAGCCTTCAGGCGTTGCCAAATTTCATTAGATAATACACGAATTTCCTGGTGAACTTATGAATATTTTTCTTCCAATTCTTAATTTATTAATTTTTTTCGCAATTTCTCCGATTGTTCCTGAAAATATCAAGGAAAAAGATTGCTATTTTTCTGAAGAAATTAACATTTTATGGGTGAAAATTTGGCAACTCTAGAATGTTCATACAGCGTTTTTCCTTAGCACGGCAGTATACACCGAGTGCCATGCCGTAGCCGCGTAATCAGTCTATTTCGGAATAGACCCTACTTAGCACTATTTACGCGCGTAAAGACGGCAAATTCCTGACAAAGCATTCTTGACGAGGAATCAAATGTTAGCGACCATTACCGCGACATCTACAGGCCTTGAGGAGCAACATGTGGCTAACAATAAGCGCGAGACACCGGTAGCTCCTTTCCCAGCCCAGCTCACAAAATTATTCATATCGCTCATCACACAGAACTCGGTACTCATTCCATCTCCCCACCCCTCGGCGACCGGTTTTAAGGCAAAAAAATACTACCTGGCACACCGTAGACACGAGCTATATTCTGCCAGCACTCCATCTTCTTCTCGTGGTCCTTGTAGTCGGTCCGATTCTTGTTGTACAGCAGATCGTTCTCCCTCACCATCAGCACGAAAGGCTCGACTTCTATAACGGCCATGGTCCTGAAATCACTCGCGTGAAACACTTAAACTTTACGACTCGATCGAAAAGAATCCACGAAAGAGAGTTTCCGAGGTGTTGGCGTATCGATCGCGTAGCACAACGCGACCGGCCGGGAGAAATTAGTCGACTGAGCCGAGCCAACCAGGCTCAAGTGAGATTTCCCCTCCGGTAAGTCCGTTAAGCGTTTAATTCTCCCGTGAATTCTCCTAAGTTGGTAGAGTCGTTGCGTAAGGGGCTTTATTCTCTTGCGCGCCAGTTTACCGGCGCCTGCGTTCCGCGCCTCTCTTTCTCTCTCCCCTCCACCCCTCCCCCAGCATCTGTCTGCGGGCCGCGGCTCCTCACGGCCCGCCTCATTTCCCCTAATCCTCACCTCCGTTGCCAGCCTCCTAGGTATCGGAATGATTTAAGGAAGGAAGGAATGCGAATTCTTGTCTGCTGATTAAGTGGATCATCTCGAGGAACGGTTTAAATGCAGTGGCGTGGGTAAATAATCGATTGTCGGTATCTCCCCATTTGAATCCGTGGTAAAGAATCGTTTAATAAGATATTCGCTGCGAACACCCTATTAATCGATCCTTTTCCATAGGTTTAAATGACAGATCAATCGATATGTCGCAAAGCACGCCCCGCCACTGTTTTAATGTTCAGTGTTGGTGGTGATTATTTGCGGGCAGATTAGTCGTGCGTCAGTTGCGTGGCGTGAATTGCGATGTATCGATGGTTCTGCCATTTAAACCTATGGTAAAGAATCGATTCATAAGGTGTTCGCTGCGAACACCCTGTTCATCGATCCTCCTCCATAGGTTTAAAGGGCACATTAAGCGATATATCGCAAAGCACGCCACGCCACTGTCGTATGCTGCCGTGTTATTAAGGAACACTGGAAAAAAAAAAAAAAAAAAAAAAAAAAAAAAAAAAANGAAAAAAAAAAAAAAAAAAAAAAAACAAAAAAAACACATTGGATCTAGAGTCCAGACTCTTAAAAACATCGACAAGAAAAAGTACGCATGATTCAATCAGAATCTAGCATAAATCAAGAACCAAGCCTCTTAATTTAAGCGGATTCCGTTTTGATTCAAGCAAAAATTTGATTGAATCAAGAGTATTTTTTCTTGTCAATGTTTTCAAGAGTCTGGACTCTAGATCCAATGTGTTGTTTTTTTTTTCCAGTGAAGAACGCCGTATGCACATTCGAGAGTTGCCAAATTTTCTTCGATAAAATGTTTATCTATGCGGAAGGTTATGAATAATTTTGTTTGAAATTTTCAGGAACTCCAGGTAAAATTGCGAACAAAATTATCTGAAAAATTAGAGGAAAATTAATCATAAGTTTACCAGGAAACTCAAGTTTCGTCCTGGGAAATTTGACGACGCCTGAAGGTTCATACGGCGTTCTTACTTAGCACGGCAGTATGTGGGAGAAGCCTCCTCTCCGGAAGGGGAAACCCCTTCTCTGTTAATAACTTAGCACTGCATGGCAACGCTGTCGGCAACAGGTCATTCATGCCTCTCTACTGGTGGATCTGCAGGCTTTTGTTTGGCGTCTCGTCGCGATGTATTGGAATCTGGAGTACGGCCGGATTTAGGATTTTGAGGCCTTAGGCTGCCTAGGCACTAGGCACTCTATGCAGTCACCGCGCAGCATAGCGGCGGCCCCCCCTGGATGAACATTTTCTCCGGGAAAATGAGAGCTCTTGATAGAGAGGCTTTGGGGAAACTACCCTGAAAAATTTTAAAATCCTCTCTACAACGCAATCGGAGGCATTTTTCGGAAAAAATTATGAGAGAGAAAAAGAGAGAGTCCCCTGCAGACTCAACTACTATGAGAAAAAAGGGAAAATTCTATGTCAACGAAGAAATAAGTTTATTTTGAAAAGGTAAGGCGAATAGTGTATTTCCTTTGGAAAATACACTGAAAAAGTCGGTGGTGCGAGTCCAACCTAGGCGCGCCTTTACGGCCGTGATAGCAAAAAAAACCGTATTTCTAAAATGTTCAAAACCGAGATTCCTTCAAAATTCGTTTCATCTTTTTTAGATGAAATCATCGAAATAGCTAAAACACCAAAATTTGGCTTTTCTGTATGAAAATGAGACATATTGATTAGAAAGCTGTAAGTGCGCACAAAATGACTTAGTTTCGGACGAAACAGCCATAAAGAGCCTTATTTTTCAAGAGAGCCAATGAAAACAAGGCTTTTTGGTAAAATGCCGCCTTTTTCTGCCTATTTGTAAGCTGAAAATGTATTTGTTTCGTGTGCAAGGCGCAATTGCAAAAGTATGCATTGCAGAGGAATGCACTTCCGGCTACCTTGCCTAACACTAGCCTAACATGAAAACCATATTCCATTCCATATTGTGTTTGTTTCCTTTTGTTGTATTTGTAATGGTGCCTAAAGTACTACGTGAGTAACACAGTCGAAGGTAGAAGAGATGTGTTTGAGCCTCTTTTTTGACTTTTCTCCCGAATCTGAGCGACACCTCATTCACGGCATTTAAGCAGAGCATTGAGAGCTCACGCCTCGCGTCATCGCGCCTTCAATTTTTCAGATGCAGCACGGACGTTCATCAAGTACGAATAGTTGTATCTCTGCGCCGTCGTAAACGCGCATCCTTTCCTTCGCTTTATTTCCATATTGTGTTTGTTTGCGTATGTCTTATTCGTACTGGTGCTTCAAACTAGTAGCGTAGAGATTGCGAATTCAGGACTCACGCCATCGCGTCTTACATTTTCCATATGTAATGTGGACACCCATCTTGCGCGAATAGTTACGTACCGCGTTTACACTTTAGATGTCTCTTATTTTTGAATTTCGAGATAAAAATTGGTTTAGTTTCCCCGATGTATGCTATGGTATGTCCAAATCAGTAGTCATTTTGAAAAGGAAGAAATATGGTCTCTCAAAAGGTCTGTAATGGGTGCGTATGTCTAAAAATCGAACCGACGCGACGTTCGCTTCCAAGGGAGTTACACATAATATAGCGAATGAAGGAGGGGGATGATAAAGCGCCTGTATGTCAACAAAAAGGTGAAATTTCACAGAAAAGTGTTAACGCTTCAGAAAGTAGTTCTTGGAGCTCTGCTCACCACTATCATGCGTAAAAGTACCTTTCTTTGCTCCTAACTCTCTCTTCTTCCATTCAGTCACGACATTTTCAGCATATATTTTTGGTCGTAATTTTTTTTTCTCTTCTTATTTTGCTATCTGTCAGAGGGGCGCATTTCCGCGTGCCAAGGGGGCGTCTCTGCCGATGGCAGATTGGCCTTATCACCTTATGGCCAGTCCGAACCTGGGCAGAGAAGAACCAAGTCACACTCACTGCCGTGCTAAGGAAAAACGCCGTATGAGCCTTCAGACGTTGCCAAATTTCCTCGAACAAATCACGAATACTCGGGAAAGTTTGTAAATATTTATCTTCCAATTTTTCAGAGAATTTTGTTCTTAATTTGATCTAAATAGTCTGAAATTTCCAAAGAAAAATAATCGTAACTTTTTTCAAAAATAAAAGTTTTCTAAGAGGAAATTTGGCGACTGTGGAATGTTTATACGGCGTTTTTCCCTAGCACGGCAGCTCAGGGTAGACTGGCTCTTAGTTCGGGGGGGAGGGCTCAGGATTGGGGTTCTCTTTTACAGAGGAGGAAAGTATTCAAAGAGACCATAGAAGGATCGGAGAGATTTTTAACGAAATATCGTCTAATAGAGGTCCCTCATTTTGCCAGTAGGGGCTTCTGTGGGGCGCTTACGGTCGATTGCTCCCCTGCCCCCTGCCCCCTCTTCCATCCTGTCCTTACCATGGTCACATTTGAGACCTCAGCCATAGCCGCGCAATTTCTATTGTCAGACATTCAAACTCTGAATGACATATCATGAATTTGAAATGTAGGTATTCAATTTTACCTCAAGATGCAATGTAGGGTGTATACGGGCTATGCCTAATTGCCTAACCATCTGGACGTTCGAGTTTTCTTCAGATAACCCAGGTGGGATTGAAGCAAGGACACGTGCCATTTACTCGGTCCAGTTGCTCCTCATGAAAATGCATCATTTTCAGTGTGCTTTCACGAAGCGGCAAATGAGATGCGAGAGCACGACTTCACTCCTATTTTTTGACTCTGCTCTTATAAATTTGATGAGACTCACTTCAAGCAATGTTACGGCGAGTTTCCTTCCTCTAATTTTTCTCACTCCTCCAACGGGCGGATTATTGCAATTGATAGACAAGGTTATAGAAAAAGAGGACATAGGGAGTATAGAGCTATCCTATTGGTTGAAATGGGTGGTTCTTATAGACTAAGGGAGAAAATGATGGACTAACTATCGGGTCCCTCGTGGGTTGCCGTTACTTAGTCATTACCTACTTCCTTTGTCCATTGCAACCACCTGCTTCCACCAATAGGATCCCTCCATCTCCATATCTCTTTTGTCTTCTTTGTCTTTAGCTTTGTCTATCAATTTCAATAATCGCCCCGCAGAGGGATGAACAATCTCAGATATACGCATCGGTATGTTCAGTGGACACTTTTTGATACTGAGCCCTAGGTCCATCTTTTTGGTAAACAAGATCGATGATAATCGCTCGAAAATTGACGATCCTAGCGATTTTATCTCCAAAAAATCGTAAAAAATCGCTACTTAATTTCAAAACATCGTGATTTTTCTGCTGAAAAATGCTACTTAGGATACATCAGTATTATTATCAATAACTCCGCCTCGTCGCGTGTTGATCGCGTGTCTAGACGATACTGCATACCGCGCCGCCGCCCAATCATGAAGTGTAAGTACCAACCCACCACCGAGTTCAAGTTCAAAGCTAACGAGCGTCTGAACTTAAAGATACAATACTCGCAGACTCGGAAGATACAATACGCAGCACTCACGTATTGTTCAGCTGGATCACCGATTTTCTGCCAACTACCCGTGCTCATTATGGCTCGCAGCCCCCGTGTTGTCTGCGACTCATGACGGGGGACATTGAGCGAGGACAATTTTCAAGGGTGAGTTGCTCCCGCATTAGAACTCATCTATCGGCGGGTTCGATTCCTAGACGGAAATCTCAGTTATACTCGTTGCAGTCGAGATATTAGTTGCCAGATTTGGTCTATACGGATTAAAAGGGCGGCAATGCGGCCTAGAAGATATCTAGGGTCAATGGTCAACTGGACCAAGTT